TACCTGACTTAGGTCGCTTAGCGTAGTTCCTCAGCGTTCCTGTTGCTGCAGGTGGCAGGGTGTCTCCTTTTTTATGGCTGAGTAATATCCCAGTGTTTCCATATATCACATGTTTGTTCACTCGTCTGTTGCCAGACACTGGGCTTGTTTCCTGGTCTTGGCTGCTGTGAATAGTGTTGCATGAACGTGAGAGTGCACATATCCCTACTGGATACGGATTTCATTTCCTGTGAATATGCATCCAGTAGTGCAGTTACTGGATCGTATGGGACTTCTCTTTTAATTTGGTGAGGAGCCTCCACGTTGTCTTCCCCGTGGCTGTGCCAGTTTACATTCCCACCAGCAGGACACACAGTTCTTTTTTTCCACGTTCTTGCCCACACTTGTTATCTTGGTTCTTTGATCTTAGCCATCCCAGTGGGAACGAGATGGTATCTCCTTGTGGTTTTGATTTGCATTTCCCTCATGGTTAGTGACATTGAGCATCTTTTTGTGGAGCTATTGGCTGTCGGCATGTCTTTGGAAAAATGTCTGTTTAGGTCCTTTGCCCACTGTTAAGTGAGGTTCTTTTTTTGTTTTGCTGTTGTGAATGAATTTCTTACATATTGTGGATATTAATTAACCCCTTATCAGAGAGGTTCATATCCTATAAATATCTTCTCCCATTCTGTAGGCTGTCTTTTCAATGTGCGGATGGTTTCCTTTGCTGGGTGGAAGGTTTTAGTGCGATGTGGGCCCACCTGTACGGTTTTGCTTCTGGTGTCAGATCGAAAAACTTGTTGCCAAGACTTATCTCAGGGAGCTTTTTCCTTAATTTTCCTGTAGATCTATGGTTATAGGTTTTCCATTTAAGTCTTTAATCTATTTTGAGTTGATTTTTGTATGTGACATAGGATAAAGGTTCAGTTTCATTCTTTTGGGCGTGGCTGTCTAATTTTCCCAGCACCATTCATTGAAGACACACTTTCCCATTAAGTATTCTTGTCAGCCTTGTTGAAAATCAGTTGACTGTGTATGTGTGAGTTTATTTCTGGATTCTATTCTGTTCACGGATCTATGTGTCTTTTAATTCCAATACCAATCTGTTTTGATTATTTAGCTTTGTAATATAATATGAAATCAGGGAACGTTTATGCCCCTTTTGTTCTTACTCGAGATTGCTTTGGCTGTGCGGGGTCTTTGTGGTTTCACATGAATTTTAGGATTGTTTGTTCTAGCTCTGAAAAATGCCGTTGGAATTTTGGTCGGGCTTGCGTGGAATCTGTAGATTGCTTTGGGTGCTGTGGACATTCTAACAGTATTCTTGTAGTCCACATGGAATATCTTTCCACGTATTTGTGTCTTATTCAGGTTCTTTTATCAGTGTCTTACAGTTTTCAGGGTACAAGCCTGTCACCCCTTGGTTGAATTTATTCCTAGGTATTTTATTCTTTTTGATGCAGTTATGAATGGGCTTGTTTTCTTGATCTTTTTTGGACAGTTTCTGCTAGTGCACAGGGCCCCAGCAGATGGTGCCCCAGTGCTTACACAGACTTCCTCACTCTTTTTCACTTTTTTTTTTTTTTCCCCTTTTTTGCTCCTCTAACTGGCTAGTGTCACCTGACCCGTCTTTCATCTGCTGAGTCTCCTCTCTGCATGTCTGACTCTGTTCTCAGGTCTGTCCGTGTGTGCTTCAGCTCCAGGGTTTCTGTTTGCGTGGGTTTTTTTGTTTGTTTCTATTTGTTGTATTTTAGACAGTATGAGCAGGCGAGAGGGACAGATGGTGAGAGAGAGAGAGAATCTCACACAGGCTCTGCACAGGGCTGGATGTGGGACTTGATCTCAACGACCCTGGGATCGTGACCTGAGCCGAAATCAAGAGTTGGACGCTTAGCTGCCTGAGCCGCCCAGGTGCCCCTGTTTAGTTCTTTTTTATGGTTTCTGCTTCCTTACTAAACTTATTTTGTTTTTGCATCATTTTCATGGTTCCATTTAGTTGTCTGTGTTCTCTTGGATTTCACTGAGTTTCTCTAAAAGATGATTATTTTGAATTCTTTGTCAGGCCATTTGTATGTCTCCTTTTCATTGGAATCTGGCTGTGGCTCTTGTCTGGTCCCTGGGCGCTCAGGGGGCAGGGACGGCCGGGCCTCCTGCTGAGGCTCTGGGCAGGCGCAGCTGCCGGAGGGCTGCTGGCGGGGGGCTGATGCCAAGTCACAGGCTTGTTTGAGGACCTGCTGTCTGCTTGAGGTTGCGTCGACTGGCCTGTCGCCAGAGGCACTGACTACAAGTATTTTCCCGGGGGGCCCTTGACCAGCAGGCATGCTCCGGGGCTGGTGGAGAGCGCCTGGGGCCCGCTCCCAGGGCCCTGGCAGGACTTACAGTCTCACTCCGGTGGGCCTGTTCTAGGGACCCCTGGACTGCGGCCCAGGTGGCTGGAGCTGGGCGCACTCTGGGGCCACAGCCAGGGCCGAGGGCCGTGTGCCGATTACCCAGGACCCTGGTGAGCCAGGCTCCTCCTGGGGTCCTTAGCAAGGATGCTGGCGCCAGGACCAAGCCGAACGGTTTGGTGGCGGCTTCCTCGGGAGCAGGGCATTTCCGGGGCTGTAGCCGAGGCCCCTGGCAAGCCAGCTGCCGGGATGCAGGGCCCTCTCCAGTGGCTGCGCTCAGCCTGGGGCTGCACCCAGGCTTCACTGTCTCCTCCCTGGATGCCAGAACTCCCATAGGGCATTTTTGTCTGAGGATGTGTGCTGAATTGTTGATCAGGGGGACAGGGATGAGGGACCTCTGGTTCTGCCATCTTGCCCAGGAACAGACGACCTCCGTCTGTCTGAATTGTGAAGACTGGAGCCCTGAGCACTTTCCCCGACTCTGGTACGTCTCAGCCTCTGTGACCCTCTTCTGTGCTCTCAGGGTCTTCGTGGACCCTTTCTCTGCCCTATGAGGAGTCTTCCACATTGCGGTGTCCTCTCTACACTCAACGACACCCTGTCTTCCCCCGGCAGAACTCTCCAGAAGCATCGTCTGGGCCAGCTGCCTGTGTGTGCTTATGTCCCATGCCCTCTCAGGTCCCGTCCAAGTAGACTATGCCACAGGCTCGTCAGCAGCACTGTGACTGCCTTTATCCAGGCCTCCAGTGGTGTGCTGCCGTTCTGTCCCTTGACCTTGCTGCGTCCTGTGTTTCCTGCTGACTTCAGGTCCCCTCCTGGGCCACGCCCTCTCAGTTCTTCTTAGGAGATTGGCCCGCCCAGGGGTCCGTCCTAGACCTCCGCTCTCCCTGCATTCTTGGCTGAAGTCCCAGCCTTACGTGGAATCGTCCCAAATACGAGTTTATCCTCGATTGCTGCACTGGCATCCTAAGCAGGCTTTTTCTTCCCTCCTTTGCCTTTACTGTTCGTCTGCAGCACAGATCAGAGAGATCTCTCCAAGACGTAAATTGGTTTCCTGGCACGTGTAGGTTAGACTTGTCCTGTGCTCGCGGTAGCCCGCAGGCCCCGACAGCCACCTCGCGGCCTCTGTGGCCTCATCATGTGCCCCTGTCCACTTGCCCAGACGTGCCGGCCTCTCTGCAGGCGCCCAGTCCCGTGCACTGGTGGCAGGCACCCCTGCTGGAGAACGCACTTCCCTGGTCCCTGCCAGGCCCCCCATCTCTTCTGTCGTGCCACCGCTGTCACAGGACCCCTGTGGCCTCCATGTCTGGAGCAGCCCGGGCACGCTCTCCCCCCGCCTGGTGGCGATCTCCTTCGTGTCTGATTCCACCTGACTTTATGTTCCATGTTGACTTCTTCAGCTGCAGATCGCCTCTCCCACCGCGAGCAGAGAGGTCGTCCTTACGTGCTCAGTAAATGCCCCACTTTGTCTTTACTTTTGATGGTCTTTGAGTTTTAAACTAGTATCTCTTGTTAGAAAACTCCACAAGCGATTATGTATGCAGATCTATGTAGAGGTGTATGAAAAACGCTTCTTAGTGTTTCAGTGCCTTGGGTATCCCGGCCACCTAAAAATGGGGTCCTTGCCTGGTGTGCAGAGTCCTGGGGGAGGGACAGGGGCGTCCCCCCAGACTCCAGTATGAAAATCCTGCTTTCATAGTGTGCGGGTACAGGGGTTCCAGGGCCTCACCCTGAGCGCCAGCTTACTCTCTGGTCCGTGACTGGTGCCTCGTGGGACATGCGCCTCACTGTCATCCACCGTGCTGTCTGCCACCCCAGGAGAAGTCTCCTCTAGAGGCTGGGGCCAGGCCGCCTCCCACTGCGGGTCTGCTAGCTTGGCATCCTCCAGAAGGATCTCTAGCTCAGAGGCCCCTCACTTGGAGCCCTGCCTGCATGGACGTTGAAAAGCAAATTGTTAAGGCTCTAGGGTAGAGACTGCATTGCCCTTACAGCCCGTGTGCTTGTAATCCCCAGCCTTTATCTTCCTGGCCTGTATTTGTCTTTTTCCTTATTTTGATTCTTCCCTTTATATTTTATTTTGGTTTAGTATCTGTGCTCTTGCAGACTGCCTGAAAGGCTTTTTTGAATTGAGACAAGGAATTAAATAACTTACACTTATTTTCCAGGGTGGCAGGGGGGTGGGGGGGAAAGACCTCTCAACTTTGCTAATAAATCTTACTGCTCAGATTATTTTTTTTAATGTTGATTTATTTTGAAGTGGGGAGGGGCAGAGAAGGAAAAAGAATCCCAAGCAGACTCCGCACTGCCAGCACAGAGCCCAGTGCGGGGCTTGACCTCGCAAACCGTGAGATCATGACCTGAGCCAAAATCAAGAGTGAGATGCTTAACCGACTGAGCCAACCAGGCCTCCCTCAGATTATTTTTGAAACTGTTGTTTTTGTATGGGGGAGAGGGGATCTTAAATTTTTGCCTCTGATTTCTTTCTTTTAGTAGATGAAATAGCACGTTTCTTACTATCAAAGCACAGTGCAGGTGAATTAATACGTATTCTGAAAACACGAGAACTGCTGTGCCGAATCATCTGCTTCGTAAATTTTAAGCCTTTTTCTTAAGTTGATCGTTACTTTTATGTAGGAGGAAATGAGTCTCAACCGGAAACCCAGGAGGACCCCCGAGAAGTACTTAAAAAGACATTGGAATTCTGCTTGTCTAGGTAAGGATGCCAGGGGTTTTCCTCGTCCCTGCTGTCCAGGATGTTCTGAGCTCGTTATTCTGCACAGATGTGCCGTTCTGCGTACATACGGTGGGAGGGGTGTATCTGTTGGTGTCTGTGTATATAGTTGTTACAGGGAAGTAGGGAATACGGAGTAGTCAGAGCCTTCAACACGGCTAAGAACCAAATGCAGTCATCTAGGCCGGTGTTCCCCACATGGCTGCACAGATCCATCATGATGGTGATTACCTGGGTTGCTTTTTGAAATTCAGAGTCCTGGGCACCCCCCCATCCCACAGAATCAGACTCTTTGGGTGGGGCCTTAAGTCACTGGCCTCACAGAGACATTCTTCAGCACAGTGAAGTATGAGAATCATTTACTGTTAGTAGGCCACACGGTATGCCAAACTCTGCAGTGGCCAAGTGTTCTATATATGTAGCACTCGTGTTTTTAGTAATACCTTTTTGAGGAATACCTTTTCTCTTGACAAATAAATAGAACAGAGTCTTCAAAGTGAGAACCGTGCATAAGAAGATGGGGTTGGGTTAAATGTAATTTTCTCTGAGCATGAAGATAACTGATGGGTCACACGTGAAGTTTTCTGTTAGTGGTGGTGATTTTTGAAGTGTTTCCCCAGGCCTGCCTTCAGATTTCAGAGCATCTGATGAGGGCTGCCCGTAGACCAGGAAGCTGCATGGCGGGGAGTGGAGGGGCAGGGCAGAGGGGTGCCCTGCTCTCCTTCCGGGCCACCCCGCACACTGCCTGCGGGTGTGTTCTGAGCCAGAGAGCCATGGCTCTGAGGCTGTACGCTGGAGGACCCGGGTCTGCACCTTGCTCAAGCCCTGCTCTCGCCCTCCTGGGCTAGCTGAGAGGTGGGGACAGAGCAGCGTGACCCTCCATGGCTCTGTGGCTGTGTGGCTTCATGGATCCTTAAGATTGTCCTCAGCCTTCGCTGTGGGGCCAGTGTGTCTGTGTTGAGATGTTTGGAGCATGTCATCCTGGTTATGGAGACTTACTAGAAGCATGCAGCATGGGCCACATGCCAGCACGTGACTCACCTTCCCCTGGACTGCTGGCACCTGCAGCTTACCTGGAGTTGACCCCGTGGGTCATGTCATCGATCATGTTTCCTCTGTGTAACCTGGCTGCCACTGGGCCTGCAGCTCCGCTGGTGTGTGTTCCGGACTGAGTGCGAATGCTCGGTACCCACCTTTGCCGGCCTTCTCTGAGCTTTCTTACCTTCTTGTTCTTGCCGCTGGATCTTCATGCCTAGAAAAGTGTGTTTGTGTCTTTAGTAAGCTCCTCAAACACTCTTTAGACCAAAGATAAGCTGTAAATACATTTCTAAAGGTTTACCCACTCATTAATCGTGATTTAACGAGTGCGCTGCACTTTTGTCCTCCCTGCCCCCCCAGATGTCTTTAAACATTTTTACCTAAGGTCAGAGAGGTATCAAGTGACAGAGGGGTTTGAACTCCAGTCTGACTCTGAAGTGCTCCCAGTCCACGCTCCTGCCTCTTTTGAAGCTTGCTCTTCAAGGAGGATTAATTCAAAGCCGTTGTCTTCTTTCTGCAGGGAGAACCTTGCTAGTGACATGTACCTTATATCGCAGATGGACAGTGATCAGTACGTGCCAATCACCACGGTAGCGAATCTGGACCATGTCAAGAAGCTCAGTACGGACATGAACTTGATTGTTGAAGTGCTGAGGTGTAAGTAAATGGTGGATGGTGATCTGGGCTGGCTCACAAATGGTCTTGATGGCTGTGTGAGCTTGTACATCAACAGCCATTCAGTGCAAGGTACTTGATGGCGAGTGGAGTCTTACTTCACGGTCCCGGCCTTTCTGAGCAGCTCCCACGTGTGGTGAGGGCATTGAGGGGCTCCGTGACCCAACCCCATGCATATCCCAGATCACGGGTAGTGCGTGTAAGAAGGGCTAATGTACAGACTAATGATAGCTGTGATGCTCGTGAAATGTAGAGTAAAGAATGGTGTTAAGGGTAAAGTAGAATACGTTTTAATTAGCATTCTAGCAACAAAAAGGATTTCTTTAAATACCAACTTCCTGTTGAAGTTTTGGTGAAATATTACTGGTTTTCTCTAAAGGGATATTGTAAATGAAATTGTTTCTTGGACATTTGACAGCATCAGAGGGAGGCTTAACCCTATATCGGAGGCCTGCAGGGACTTAGGAAATGTGGATCTTTAAGGTGTTGCCTGGCACACCACAGGTGTGGTTTACTGGTGTCCTGGTTTGCTTTGCAGATAGAGGCTTCTGCAGCCTAACTGTTTTATTTCATGTTTTTACAAAAACCACTTGGCTAAGGTGTAACTGACACACAGTGAACCGCGTGGATTAGGGCATTGTTGGGTCAGTTTGGGCACAGGTAGATCCGCATCAGTGAGGCCGTCACTGCCCGCAGTTCTCTTATGGCCTTGAATGCTCCCATCCTGCCCTCCCACCCTGGATGGCTTCACTGGCGATGAGTTTTAAAGTAAATGTACAATACATTGGATATCTTTTTTTTTTTTTTTAAATTTTTTGTAATGTTTTATTTACTTCTAGGAGAGAGAGAGAGAGAGAGAGAGAGAGAGAGCGCGTGAGCAGGGGAGGGTCAGAGAGAGAGGGAGACACAGACTCTGAAACAGGCTCCAGGCTCTGAGCTGGCAGTCAGCACAGAGCCCGACGCGGGGCTCGAACCCACGAACCGCGAGATCATGACCTAAGCGAAAGTCGGACGCGTAACCGACTAAGCCACCCAGGCGCCCCCATTGGATATCTTTTTTGATGGGATTGTTTTTAATTATAAAAGATCACTTCCTGTAACAGGATTGTGGGCACCAAATGAATTTTTTCTGTACTCTCCCTACTCAGGGCTGCCCTGAGTCCTTCACGAAGAACAGCGTGCATGTCATGTCCCCCTGCCCGGAATATTTCTAAATGAGGAACATCATCATACCAGAACTAAAACCCCATTTCCCCGTGTCACCACTGTGACTTTCCATCATGGACACTTAGGCAGATGTGTTTACGTGCTCTCCGTGGCTTAGCCAGCTGGCTGACAGTCAGTGATGCATTTGACTTAGGAGAAAAACAGAATGAGTATCTTACCTCAAAACTTCGTTGGACTTCTATTCCGTACTTTCTGTTCCTAGGCAAATGCCATAAGGTCGTGGAATTATTGGAGCAGTGAGTGAAGAAATTAGCAAACATAATCTATGAAGTTTGAATTTCGAAAATTGTAACTGCTGTTTCCCAAGACAGCCATATGCTTTCCAGTGTCGCTTTGTCTTTATGTTGAGAACAGAGATCTGCGGTCTCTGCGATGCGTCGTGGAGTGGGTTTTGGGTGGACCCACTTGCAGAGGCCAGCGGCTGTCCTAACTAAGAAAAAAAAGCTCGTTACTCTGTTAACGCTCTTTGCCTGTTACTTGGAATTCCAGATGTGGGCTTTTCCCCCAGGCATTCCTTGGAAGCCTGGCTACCCCGCGGATAGTGTCTCAGGTGATGCTTAGCTGGGAGTCGTTCGTGCAGACTGTGAGGATGTTTAATTGTCCTGGGCGGTTGCTTCACGTTTCTCTCCAGGGACAGACAGCCTGTCACCCTCTCCACCCCTGCCACCCCCCGTTCCAGCATGGCATCGACGGAGGGTCTTGGATTGTAACATTACCTACACACCTGCGTGTGGCTCTTCAGTGTCTGAGTGCCTCTTTTCACTCAGTTTTTAGACACCAACATGTGCACGTGTAATAACCTGAGGAATAGAGTGTACTTAGTATATTAGTTGTCGTTCTGAAGAGGGTGACATAAAGAAGCCTCTGAGAGCAGAGGCCTCATGTTTAAATCTTAACCCCATTCCCAAAACACCCAAGATAAAGTTAGATCCACCGTAGACATTTTGCATATTTCCTGCTGTGACACCAAAACTCTAGCATTGATTGAGTTGCATCAATTGTTTCTGTATCGTACTGTGCATGGCGTGTAGTGCATGGAGCAGAACGCTGATGCAGATGATTTGTTTTTACACTTAGCAGAGTTGAAGTTGCTAATTTAAAAGTAGACTCAGGTATTTGTCACCAGAGGATGAAGACATACGTTGTGATCGAGCCACACTGTGACCACTAGAACAGGTAAGGTGAGCTGGGCCTGCGCTTTCAGTAAGGATCTGTGTTAAAATCCTAATGCTGAATCTGAAAGCATGTTCCAGATGTGGACAAGATGCTACCGCGGATCCAGAGGTCAGGTGTGTGGAGAGCAGAATCTGTCTCCTGGGCTCAGAGGTGCAGGTGTGAGAGTGGGCCTGCCTGAGCGGGACTGACCCTGGGGTAAAGGGGCCCTTACTGGGGCACGTGAACCGGGGACAGGACAGGTATGAGAGGCGAGGAGAGGCTTGCCGGTCCCTGCTGCTGGTTTGGGGTTTACAGCCTTATGGAAGTAGAGTGTACGGACCTTAGATGTGCATGCTTTAAGGGTCCGTTAGGGAAGTCACACTTCTTCACACACACACACAACCACCGGAATCAAGATGACGACCATCCTGTCACCCCCAGGAGTTCCCTTCCCCTTCAGACAATTGCTCGTCTGCTTTCTCTGGCTGCCGACTAGTTCACATTTTCTAAAAACTTTATGTAAATGGAACCAGTCATCCAGTAGCCTTTTCCCCCTGGTCTGGCTTCTGACACTCAGCATGATTACTGCTGAGTCGTGTTGCATTCAGTAGCTGGAGCGCATCTGAATTAGTCACCCCCATCGACGGGCTTGGTTACTGCCGGGTTGTGACTACGACAAGTAAGCGCCTTGAGCACTGGTATGAGAGTCTCCGTGTGGAAGGGACCGAAGCTTCTGTCTCCCTCGGCCAGTGGCCGGGTGTGTTGCAGTTCGTGAACCTGTGGACCTATCCCCAGGCGGCAGGTGGGGCCCTCGCTTCGCATGGCACTTCTGTGTCCCGTGTTCCCATGGTGCATGGTGCTCACCTCTTGGGACTTGGTTTCTGTCTCCCTGCTGCCTGGCGGGCACGGAGCCATGTTCTTACCGGCTCGTTGGCCCTCCTTGTGTCTGCTGAAGTGTGTGTTCACATGCCCTCTCCCCACCTTCGTTACAGCAGAGATTGGACGGGTGTGTACCATCATTTGAGACGTGTATTATCTGTGTTCCATATAGAAGCTCAAATACGTTCTCCTAGGCTCTAGCTTCTCATTTTTATTCTAATAGTGTCTTTTGAAAAACAGTTTTGAAGTTTTTGTAGAGTGCGATTAATTTTTTTCTTTTTTTAAAAATGTTTGTTTATTAATGAGAGACCAAGAGAGACAGAACATGAGCAGGGGAGGGTCAGAGAGAGAGGGAGACACAGAATCCGAAGCAGGCTTCAGGATCAGAGCTGTCAGCACAGAGCCCAAAGCAGGGCTCGAAGCCACAAACTGCGAGATTATGACCTGAGCTGAAGTCAGACACTTAACCGACTGAGCCACCCAGGCGCCTCTAAAGTTTTTCTTTTGTGCATCTTTTGGTGTTGTCTTCAAGAAATCTGTGCCTAATCCAAAGTCTCAAAGATTTCTCCCAGAAGTTTTATAGTTGTAAGGTTTACATTTTTAGGTCTGTGGTCCATTTGAAGCTAATTTTTGTATGTGGTGTGAAGTAGGGATCTAAGTTCTCTGCTCCTGCACATGTGGGTGTGCACTGTCCCTGCGCCCTTTGCTGGAAGGACACCCCCTTCTCCCCTGAGCTGTCCTCGTTGGCTTGCCGGGACCTTGTGTCCTGAATCTGCTTATGGGTTTGAACACCGGCACCGCAGTGTCACCATCACTCTGGCCTTATGAAGGGTCTTAAAGCAGGTGCTTTGTTTCAGCTCTTTGACATGGTTTGCATTTCCACATGGCTTTTAGAATCCACATTTCAGTTAATCAGAAAGGCCAGTTGGTATTTTTATTGGGATTGCACCAAATCCAAACATCAGTTTGGGGAGAATTGACATCATAGCAACAGTGAGTTTTCCATTCCGTGAACACAGAATATCTCTTGATTTGTTTACATTTCTTAAAAATTTTCTCTTGGTAATGTTTTGAAGTTTTCAATGTAGAGGTCTTCCATATCTTCCCATATTTATAACCATTTCCTGTTTTGGACACAGTTTTAAATGTTTAAATTTCAATTTCCAATCGGAGTTAGTATGTAGACACATAGTTCTTTTTTTTTAAGTTTATTTATCTTTTGGGGGAGGGGACAGAGACAAAGAATCCTAAGCAGGCTCCAGGCTGTCAGCACACAGCCTGACGAGGGGCTTGAAGTCCCAGACGGTGAAATCTTGACCTGAGCCAAAACCAAGAGTCGGACGCTCAATCCAGGCGTCCTTAGAAGTTCATTTTTGTATATTGATCTTGCGTATACAAATTTGTTAAACTCTAATTCTAGTTGTTTTGGAGATTTTATCAGATTTTCTGTAGAGATGAGCCTGTCGCCTATGAACGGAAAGGCTTCCCTCTTTTTCTCCAGTCTGAGTGTACTCAGTTTCTGATTCTTACATTACTGCCCTGGCTCGAACCTCTAGTACAGTCCTGAGCAGACACGGAGAGAGCAGGGGTTTTGCTTTGTCCTGTCTTTAGTAAGTGTGATGCTAGATGGTGATGTTTCTTAAGTGAGGTTTCCCTTCCATTCCTAGTTGGCTGAGAATTCTTTTCAGGAATGTTGGATTTTGCCAGATACTTTGTATGCATCCGTGAGGTAATTGTATGGCTTTTTTAGTCCATTAATGTGGTGAATTACATTGCTTAATTTTGATTGCTTTAACAGTCCAACCTTACATTACAGAGATAAACGTTGCTTGTCACGGTTTAGTATCATTTTTATATATTGTTGGATTTTTGGTAAGAGTTTTTGGTCTGTGTTCACAAGGGTTTGGTGTATAGTTTTCCTGCTTTGTGATGTGTTTATTTAGTTGACTGGAGAGCAGAGAACTTCTGGTCTCCTAGGCTGGCCTGCGGTGTGTTCCCTTTGCTGTTTTGGGAGAGGTTGTCCTGTGGGATTGGTTTACGATTCTCTTAAATGTTTGGTAGGACTCTCAAAGGGCACCGTCCGGCCTTGAGTTCTCTTTGCCGACGTGGGTCCAGGTCTGTCTGGTGACCATCTTGTCAGGGTTCACTTTGGTGGTGTGTGTCCTGAAGGACGTTTCTAGTTCCCGTAAGTAGTCTTAACTTTCTGGTGTCAACTTTTCATAATGCTCCCTCATGATCTTTTTCACGTGCGTAGAACCTGAGGTAGAGTCCTTCTCCCGTTCCTGGGGTTGGTAACTTGTGTTCGTGGGGACCGTGCTGAGCCCCGGTTGTGATCAGGCTGTGTCGCGACGGGAATCCACGTGATACGGCTTCACAGACGTGACACTGGAAACAGAACGTAACGAAAGGGAGTGCGCGTAAACACCGGTGAGGTCTGATTCAGGCCTGTCCCTGTGTGCGCTGTCCCCCACACCAGCCTCCTCGTGTGGACGCTGGGTGTGTCGTCACTGTCACTGGCTGGGTGACGCATGTGTGATACCTCCTCGTGAGTTCAAAATAAAACGTCAGAATAGGGCAGAAAGTTCTTTTATGTTAGGGCTCGTAGAAAAGAGAAAGCTAGTTAACTCTGAGTTGTGATCTGCGTTTAGTTTGAGCTCTTTAGAGTCTTTCATAGAGGGTGTTAAATTTATTATAGCTCTGAAAGGACTTTTTGAATTCCCCTGTTCCTTTGTTTTGAGAAATGAAACATGCAGGACGGGTTTAAAACCTTCTGATGGTTTGTGTCACGGTGACCCACGGTATGCGGGTTTCTTCAGCGCGGTTAGTAATGTACTGTGGCACTCTGCACGGGAGCGTCTCTGTCCCATCGTAACAGGATACAGATGGTTTGTCTGCTTTAATATTTGTGCTTTACCGCTTGTTTTTCTTCTCTTTATAGCTTTACCTTTAGTCCAAGTGGACGAGAAGGGAGAAAAAGTAAGGCCAAACCAGAACCGCTGCATCGTGATTTTGCGTGAAATCTCCGAGTCCACCCCTGTGGAAGTAAGTCCTCTTTCCTCCGAAGTGCGCTTGCACTTCGTTACATTGGTGTTTTGTTTTGTTTTTGTGTGCTTCTGTGTTTTTTGGGGGTATATTTTAAAGAATATGCGCAGTGATGCTTTCTTCGCAGGACCTACATGAGATAGGTAGGGTCTCACGACTCCATTGTGTACTTCATGCTACACAGTTAAGGAGAGTCTATGGTAACTCAGTATTTAGAAGTGAGAAGGGTTTAAATATTCATTTAAAAATAAGAAACCCGCAAGTTAAGATAAAGAACCTGTTTTTATGTTAAATAACTTTTCAGGACGAGTATCTCCCCAAAAAGGGGGCTCGGAAGAGCTGAGGGAACGTGCAGTAGCGTGGACCGGCTGGCCTGCCCGCGTCAGGGCGCTGCTGGCATGGGGAGATGCAGGCTCATCCATCCCGCAGAAATGGGGCCTGGAGAGCATGACTTGAGAAGTACCAACTTAAGCAGTAATTTTAGGCAGTAATTTTAGGAAACCACAGTATTTGGTAGTGTAGTAGACCTAGAGAGTGATCTCTGTCACTGCTTGCTGCAGAGTGTGTTCCTCGTGCAGATGCTCACGCTGGGACACTGTGAGTAGTGCAGCCCCATGGGCCTCCCCTGGGGACGATGGGAAGCCGTGAGGCAGGGCTCTGGCAGAGTCCATTCTTGGCGTGCTCAGAGCGGGCTGGTTGGCTGCTGCTCGGATTCTTCCAGACCTAGGAAGTTTGCTTCGTCAGTCCTGGGTCTTCTGTGAGTTAGGCCCGGGTCAGTCGTGCTGTGGACATTCTCAGTACCTTTTTTGTAGTGGAGATAGATGAGTGTACCTGCGGGCTTAGGAAGGACAGTTCCAGTGGAGCCTCACAAAGGTGGGGCTTCTAACAAACCCCTGATAGGATAAAAAGTTACACCTTCTTGAGCACGGCACTGTTCTCGCAAGGTGTGCTTTCAGTTCCCCCGAGCTCATTTTTACTAGTTCTGTATTACAGTGTGTGAAGAAAAAGAAATTAGGACTGAATTTTTGGTCCCTCTTTTTAAGGTTCAAATAGGAAGGATCCTTCTGTTTCTTCCTACCAATGTGGATGCCTGTGTTAACTCATGTAATATTTAAAATACAGGTCCTGTAAGATATCTGTAAGCACTGTAATGAATAAGAATTTTCTACTTGCCGCTGCAGACACCGATTTTGGTATTTTCTGTTATTCCAAACAGCATACTCTTTGTCTGTTGTAAAACTTGAACCGGCGAAGTTTTGAGAGAGGGCTCAGAGGAAATGATGATACATTAAACGTCGAATGAGAAAGGAAGGGGGATGGACGTGGTCACGCGAAGCTGAGTGAGGGGCCAGGAGGCCGCCGAGCACAGGCATTGTGCTCTCTGGGGCGGGGGCGGGGGTGGCCCGGGCGGCCGGCAGAGTCTTCAGAAAGCAGCCACATGTGTGTTGGTGCTCAGAACGGTTTTTAAAATGTAGTTCATTTGGGTGATTAACAGTCTTTTATCAGATGGCCCTGTTTTCCCTGGCAGCGTTCTGCTCTGGAATCGATGTTGGTGTTATGTGGCCGCTGCAGTTCTGTCGTGTTACCGTAGGCACGGCGCATCGCCTTTGTGCCCACGGAACCTGTCTGCGTCCTCGTGGTTAGCGGGCACTTCCTGTGAGTTGCCCGTAGGTGGCCTGTGCGCTCCGTGCCCCCCAGAGCTCTGCTCCGGGTGCCTGGCCGGCGCCTTTATCACGGAAGTGATTAACTATGTGGCTAGGTTGAGATCTACCGCCTTGCGGCTTGGCTTGTCTTCTCTTTGTCTATACTGTTCTCGTTTCCTTGCCTCCCTTTGCTTTGGTTCAGCGTGGTTTTTGTCTCCCTTTTTGGCTTATTCGATACAACTCTTTGTTTCGTTTAGTGGCGGCTTTTACAGTTTGTAGTTGATACCTGAGTATATCAGTGTCTCTGCCTTAACATAATCCCACTTGTCACCTTTCTGAGACAGGCCCCCCGCTTTCCACGGCTGGCCATGCTCAGGAGTCCTGCGTGGCCCTCAGTCATACCGCGCTTTCCTGTGCTTGCTTTAAACGAGCCTGTTTTCTTTTAAAGAGTTTAAAAATAAGAAAGATGTGTTTCATATTTCTCCAGCATTTACCATTTGCAGTGCTTTGATTCTGTCTCTAGACCTAGACTCCCTTCTGTCCTCCTTTCTGTCTGGTTATTGCTTTATTTCTTGTAGTGCAGGTCTGCTGGTGTGAGTTTCTGCAGCTTTTGTGTGTTTGAGAAAATGTTTATTTTACTGTCACTTATGAAAGATACTGGTGTAGAATCCACGACTGACAGGATTGTTTCTCCTTCCTATGTTTTGAAGATGTTCTTCTGTGCCCGGGTGTGTGCTGTTTCTGAAGATGAGTCTTTCATTTTTGTCTCCTTTCCTCTGTACATAGCGACCATTCTTTTTTCTCACTGCTTGAAAATTTTAGGCAATTCGATTGTGATACATCTTGGTGTAACTTGTAAGTTTCTTGTGCGCAAAGTGTCCTGAGCTACTATTTCTTCAAATAGTTTTTCTTTTCTCCCTTTTTTTTTTTTTCAAAGTTCTAACTAACCATTAATCCTACTTTAGCACATTATTCATTCCAGAAGTTAATTTTGGGTCTTTCTTTCCTTTTCTCTGTCTTTATTTAACATGCTCAGTCTTTACTTTGGTGAATGTAGACTATATATGTGCCTAAGAACTATTTAATATCCTTGCCTTTTAATTCTGTCCTCTGTATCAGTTTGGGGTCTACTTTGATGGAATTTTCTCACTTATGTCGTCTTTTTTCATTTCTTTGTATGCCTGGTGAATTTTGAATGGAGGCCAGGCATTTGGATTTTGTGTTACTGGGTACTGAATGTCTTTGTATTCTTCCCCTGCAGGTATTTTTGAGCTTTGTTTGAGGTTCAGTTTGACCCTTCAGGCATATTGTTAGGTGCTTGCGGGGCTGCCTTCGCCCGGGGCTGGTTCTTACCCACGCTGCGGCCGGGCCCTCCTGCGTGCACGGCCTGACGCCCCATGAGTTGGGAGTGTTTCCCACTCTGCCTTGTGGGGAGACACACCGCCCCCTCCCCATCCTAGCAAGCTTTGCTCCTTTTCCCTCTGGTGATTTCAGGAGGCTGTTGATGCACACCGGGCCCTGGGAGACCCCCGCCCCTGCAAGAGCCCTAGGCTCCTGGGCCTGGGTCAGCACTCGCCTCTGGGTTCTGGGTGGTGGGGCTCCCGTGGGAACTCCAGGCCCAAGCTGGGCCCTCACGGGCTCCCCTGCCCTGCATGGCCTGAGCTCTGCTGTCTGAAACTGTTACTTCATGTATGTTGTCTTTTGTTTTTGAGAATGTAAAGCCGGCCCGTCTTAGCCGGAACCAGAAGTTCGGCCACTATTTACATTTCTGAGCTTACCGCCCTGCTTCCCCAGCTGTGTAGTCACCAGTGCTCTGGTGCACTACGGCGTGCCTGCATGTTAATTTACCTTAAAGGGACCTTGGTACGAAGAAAAGCTATCAATATGCTGTGGACTTACTTCCTATGGCAGTGAAGCCCTGATTCTGGAAGCCACGCACAGCACCTCTGCTCTTCTGGAAGAGGTTTACTAGCCATCAGTATTTTGGATGGGCTCTCTGTCTAAGACTCTGTCCTTCAGGGTCCACGTCATTTCTATTCGGTAAGGACAGATGCAGCGTAGTGGAGAATTAATTTCTACCTCTCTGTTTTCTGTAGGAAGTAGAAGCACTATTTAAAGGAGACAATTTACCGAAATTTATAAACTGTGAATTTGCCTATAATGATAATTGGTTTATTACGTTTGAGACGGAAGCTGATGCCCAGCAGGTGAGTTCTTCCCACCCCCGTGAAGCTTAGCATTACTAGGACTTACTACGTAACATCGGTTGTACATGGGTGTTGACATTACTGTTGCATTGTGGTGCTAAGTTTGATGATAAAGTGCAGGGGAAATCAGGCTGCAGAAACTGAAATAGAGGTGTTTGTGTAGATAGTTTTCGTAGCGATATGTGAAGTATACGACTGTGTTTCTTAAGGACAGGTAAGACAAGCAGCCCATGAAAAGGAGCTCTTTTCTTGTATCTGGGCAGAGAGAAGTTGTACAATTTGGAAAGTGTTTTGGGAAATTTGAACGTAACCCTAACTCTCGCCAGACATCACTGTGTGCTGTAAGACCGCTGAATGGCCTACGAGGCTGCGAGCAGACGCGGGGAGTTGTGACGGTCTCCCTGCCCTTCAAGGGCGAGTCTTACTGGCGGAGATGTTAAACGTGCTTCAGGGGATTGCTGGTACAGGTGGCCCTTCAACAACGTGGCGGTTAGGGACGCCGACCCCGCGTGGTGGGGAGTCCATGTACGACGACTGATTCCCTCAGATCTGAACTATTGCTAGTCTCCTGTTGATCTGCCTGAAGCCTTACTAATAACATAAACAATTGACTAACACCTGTTTTGTCTGTAATTTGTATTATATGCTGTGTTCTTTCAATAAAATAAGCTGCAGAAAATAGTGCTGAGTAAACCATAAGTGGGAGAAAATACATTTATAGTCCTGTGGTATAGTTCTCGAAAGGAGGCTGCGTGTGAGTGGCCCTTTGCAGTTCAAGGGCAGCTGTGTTAGTGACATGAATGCCGTGAAATTCAGAAGAGAGAGAGACATGGGGAGGATGCGTGTTAAAGGACTGGAAGGGAAAAGGCAGAGGAAGAGCCTGTGAGCGTAGCAGGTTGAGCTGTCCTTACCAGAAGGGTGCGTGCGGCTAGCCCAGACCAGGTCAGGGGGCTCAGGGCCTCCCGAGGCAAGGAGTGCACCTGGGAGAAGAATAAGGAGCCACATAAGTACAGACTTGCAAATACTGCGGTCTCTGCCTTCTTCTCCCCAGCTGTGTGATTCCATTTCCGATGCGGGTTGTGACTGGGGACTTGGTTCCACTCTTACCTGCGGGTCAGGACGCTCAGCCTGCGGCCGGGGGACGGGTGCTCTGCAGTGCCTGTTAATCTGACAGAATTGTGGTCCCATATTGACCATGAGACTTTTTGCTGGAGGTTCCCTAACTCTTAGAGGTTCTTTTAAGGAACCAGTGACCCAAAGTAGGTTAATTAAGAATCTCTGTTCGAGGGCCTGCCCATCGTATTTTAAATACCATTCCTTAGTTGAGGTAGTGAGTTAACTTCCAGTCCGTTGTGTTTCTAAGATTAACACAATGGTATTTTGGACAATTTTGCCCTCAGGCTTACAAATACCTTCGAGAAGAAGTCAAGACTTTTCAAGGAAAACCAATTAAGGTAAGCAAGACCATTCCTTATACTTTCTTTATTTTTGCAAATCAGTACTTCAGTATTCTGATAGACATTTCTGTGTCCCCACACAGGCACGGATAAAAGCAAAGGCAATAGCTATAAACACATTTTTGCCAAAGAATGGATTTAGACCCCTGGACATGAGCCTTTACACACAGCAGCGCTACACAGCCTCCTTTTACTTACCTCCGGTCTACAGCCCCCAGCAGCAGCTCCCTCTGTACAGCCTGATCGCCCCCCAGGCGTGGTCGGCCACACACAGCTATCTTGATCCACCCCTGGTGAGTCCCGCGTGTGCTTGGAGCTTGTGCGGCCGGAGGTCCTGTGTTGGCCGCTGCAGCAGGTGCTCAGGAGGGTGAGGCCCCAGGTCGCGTAGGGGAGCCAGACGTGTCCACAGTTGCCCTGTAAAAGAGACCCTCGGTCCTGTAGCAGACCTAAATTTATTGGGAGACCAGCGTGTAGCTGGGCGCACTGAAAAGACCATCGAAGGCTCTAATCTTGATCCTTGGCGCGGTCCCCCTGCCTTCCTGTGTAGCAGCACCTTCCTAGGCTATGTCGTCTCCAGGAAGCCACAGATGATGTGGTCCGAGTTCTGGGGTAACCAGGTTACTTCTGAGCGTGGGGTGCCAGGGGAGATGCTTTTATGGAGACAGCTGTTTTAACAGGCTTCGGATGGTTGAGAACAAATAGGCCTGCAGCTGTCTTCCTCCCCTCAGCCCCGACTGGCCCGTGTGGTGGGTCCAGGCAGCTTTCCCCAGCGGTGCTGCTGGGGAGCTCGGAGAGGCCAGGTGGGCCCCGGCTGGCATGGGACACAGCCGGGACTCCGATCAGGTTGGGCTCCCACCGCAGACAGTGGAGATGGGCTGATGGACAGGCTGTGTGAGGCCGCGGGCCAGCTCTAGGCGGGGCCAGACACAGGGAAGGGTAGAAAGCGAGGAAGGTTGTGTTTGGGAAGCAGGAATCCAGTAATGGCCTTGAGGGTATGGCTGCGGAAAGCTATGTGGTGCTCGGCGGGGTGTGTGTGTGTGTGGGGGGGGGTTGCAGGAGAGGCCTGCAAGCCAGGCCCCGCCACGTGGACACATCATGTGGGGCTCTCGTTAGAGACGCAGTGGCGACTGGGGGGGTGGGGGAGTGTCCATGCCTGTCACGCATGTGCAGATGAGCACATGGCCTGAGAGCACGTGGCCTGGGAGAGACCACTATGGCAGGCAGACAGGCAGAAACTGGAAAGATGGGACCTGGACAGAATACTGTGAAGCTTACAGCGGGGGCTTATCTGCTGTGATGTCCTCCCCGCTGAGGCTAGGAGGTGGAAGGAGGGGGGCTGCAGGAGAGCCCGTGGCTGTGCAGGGGCGGCGGGCGTGCTGAGGGCCTCTGAGCTGAAACGGAGGCTGAGGCCGGGAGCTCGGGGGGGAAGCTGGGGAGTCCTGTCGGGGTCAAGCTGTGCGGCGTCTTCAGTGTGTCCTGAGGCTGCATACTCAGCGCCTGTGACGTGTGGGGCCAGAGGAGTCGGGACAGGTCATTACAGGCACCGCCAGAGCCCTGAGGTCTGCAGACACTGTGGACGAGGTTTCTCTCTGTGTGTCTCTCTCATCCTATTAACGCACTGCTGCTTTCAAATACTTGCCACATTCTGTAGAAGGCACCGGTGGCCATGTGGCCCACAGATCGTGAGAGAAGCGTAACAGGAAGTAGAGTCCTCGAGCCCTGCCGTTGAGGAACGTCCCCAGTGGAGGCCAGCCGGCGCGCTGTGCCGCCTGCTTTCTCTGGAGTAACGTTGCTGTTCTGACGGCTCTCATCGTGGCCCTGCCTGTCTGGCACTCGGGGTCAGCTGGCCGTTTGCGTGGTTCCTTTGACCCTGGTTCAGGAATGAGGCCTTTGGCTTGCTTGAAAGCACACTGTGTCATTTGGAGCAGATGTGAAGAGATAGTGCATGTGAATTCTCAGCAAGTAATGTGAAATGATTGGAGTTAGGGACTAATTTATTTTTATTTATTTTAATTTAAAAAAAAAATGTTCATTTGTTTTGAGACAGAGACAGAGCATTAGTGGGGGAGGGGCAGAGAGAGAGGGAGACACAGAATCTGAAGCAGTTCTAGACTCTGAGCTGTCCGCACAGAGCCCAATGTGGGGCTCAAACCCATCAACCGTGAGATCATGACCTGAGCTGAAATCGGATGCTTGACCGACTGAGCCACCCAGGCGCCCCAGGGGACTAACTTATTTTTAAACACTTGATCAGAATTACTCAAATACCAGAGTTCTGTATATAAAAGTACATACAGGAAGTGATGTGTCACGACTGGTCTTACTGTGATTTATAATCTGGTTCCCGTGTGATTGACAAGAGTTTTAAATAGTCTGACTCTGGCAGCTGTTCTCTAGCCAGCATGCTGGGGATTCTTGCAGAGCTCTACGTGTGTCTTTCGCCCCCAGTTTCCCTCTGCTGCTTCTCCTCTCCCCCCCGCCCCCTTCCCCATTTTCCTGTTAGCAAACAGCTTTATTTGGTCCTGAGCAGTATGTAACATGTGCTTTCTGCCATAGCTTATGTTTAGCTCCAGCCCCCATGGGTATAAGTTGGCTTCCTTGGGGCCGTTGTGCGGAGGTCACCTTAGTTGGCCCAGAAGGCGGCCTTAGCCCCAGCCTGGCTCGGGAACTATTGGTTATTAGCAATAATCTAACACCATGTTCTTTTCATCTGGGGAATATTTCATCTGAGCTTGCTTGGCGAGTGGAGAAAGAACGCCTGCAACCACAAGGTGTGCCATTAGTGTGAAGGCTGTTAATGGCTTGCTGACTTGTTTGTTTTTAATGCATCTAGGTAACTCCGTTTCCAAATACTGGATTTATAAATGGGTTTACGTCTCCAACCTTCAAACCTGCAGCGTCTCCTCTGACTTCGCTCAGACAGTACCCTCCAAGAAGCAGGCAAGTTCCGCGAGTTGGGGAGGGCAGTAGCCCCGGGATCTGTGGGGAGAGGTCCGCCACGCTGCGCTGTGCTCTCAAGGAGTGGAAAGAGCAAGCAGTTTCCAAACGGGGCGTCCTCACCACGTGCTCGAGCCATGCTGACTGCGTGGAGAAGCTCTTTCTGACAAGATGTTGTGATCCATTTGACCAGTGGAGATGAAACCTCCCGAGGCCTAGAATTGCGCTCTGAGATCAGACCCTGAAATGCTTGCTGGAGGCTTGCATAAAGCACAGGTTCTCCAGCTTGTGTCCGAGTGGGCCCGCTCTGAATTTGGACCTGGGCTGCAGCTACACAAAATGTTGATACTTTGTAGATTCGCAGTAGCAGACACGGCATACCTTAACTGTTTCCTGAATAACATTTGTACTATTTTTTTTCTAACTAGAAAGTACCTTTTAGCCGAGTCCTTTCATGTGTTAGCTCATTTTATGACACCACGATTGCTTTAACACTGAGCGCGTGCAAACCTTTTGTTTCCAGGAATCCTAGCAAATCTCATCTACGCCATGCCATTCCCAGTGCAGAGAGAGGACCTGGGCTGTTAGAAAGCCCTTCGATATTTAACTTCACTGCAGACCGGCTAATTAACGGTGTCCGGAGCCCACAGACACGGCAGACAGGTCCGCCTAGAACACGGATACAGAACCCTCCTGCCTACACCAAGAGGGAGGTTGGGTCTGGTCGTGTGGAGCAGAGCAGCGCGGAATCTCCCCCTGGTTTAGGGAGAGGGAGGTGAGTGCTTGAGAGCTGCTCTCAGACAGCTACGGCCTGTCCCCGTGGGCTGTGAATATTGACCCAGTGTCCTCTCTGCAGGTGTGGCTTACCATTTCGTCTTCACATGCAGAACACGGCCTCACATCGAAGGCTGCACCCATCACAAGTTTTATGTAATTACTCAGAGGGTCACTCAAGAGACTTGACAGGCTTCCTCTTCTTTGTATAAAACTGTGGGGAGAGCCCTAGATGGACAGGAGCCATGTTTGGTCACAGTCGTTGGTGGGCATTTGGAGCTCTGCACACACCAGTGTCCACACTGTGGGTCCAGGCCCCCACCCCCTGCCTTGCGCAGAGGCCCAGCGCCCCAGCCTCACTCCATTTCCATGGTAGTAGGTGGGTTGTGCACTAGGCGGACCAGGCTGTTGATTATGTTTTTCCTAAACATATTCATAAAAATGAGCTGTACTGGTAAAGCGAGCCTGCTGGCCACCCTCCGTGCTGTCCATGGGCACATGCATGAGCCCCTGGGGTCCATGGTGTGTGTGCGTTCCCACGCCCCTGACGTCGGGCCGCGCCAGCACCTCCTCACCTTTCCCCAAGGCAGCGTGCGTGCCGTCCATTCCTGCCTCCTGTCTCTTCCTCTTCCATTCAGGACTGAGGTTAGAGGCGGCGGACGGGGTGCTTCCGTCCGGTTTTTCCTCTCAGTTGTGCTTGGGGCTGTCCAGAATGAAATCCCTTCTGACACATCACCTGTGTGTGTTCAACCCACCTAAGCATTTCTTCAACCTGCTTGGAAAACCTCAGTGCAGACGTTCCCCAGTGTTGCACACCAGCACAGTGTCTGCACACACAGGCTCTGGCAGCCCGGATTCCGCTCTGTACTCACTGTGGCTGGGGCATGGGGGCGAGGGTGGCAAGTCACGGTGCCCTGCACTGGTGGTGCGTCAGTGTGCACCATCTGGCTTGGGTGGGGCCACGGGACTGAGTGGCTGGTGGCAGCCCCCCGCCTTACATCCCCAGGATGTGTGCTGTGAAGGTGGCTCAGGGGGTATTGGAGAGATGAAGGACGCCAAGGGGCTGGGGCGACAGAGGAGGCCAGAGGCTTGCAGCAGGGCCAGCGGAGCTGAGGCGGGACCCAAAGGAGGCCGCACCTGCCACCTGGGTGCTGCCTGGGGTGCTGGGTCATGCTTCACTGCAGACACCGCAGAGGAAGTGCCAGTGGGACTTCCCACTCCCCGCTTTCCTGCCTCCTGCTGGCCTCTTGGGAGCTTAGCTCCACGGAAGCGTCCTGGCGGCGGAAGGACAGGGCCACTAGGTGCCCAGAAACCGAGGGGCACCTGGCTGACCCACGTGGGCCGCCTCCAGTCACAACGGTTGTGTGCGATCTGGCTCTGTGGTAGGACTTCCGCAGAACCACGGGAACTGCCTGTGCTTCTGCCCCACAAAGGGCTGTCTGCACCCACATAGTCTGTACGCTCCAGACCGCGGCCGCCCCATGGGACATCCTGGTGCTCACCTCTCCCGTTGTCTACAGGCAAGCTATCGGCCCCTGGGTGTCTTCAGCTGGAGGGTGAGCCACAGTGGCCATGTCTTCTGCTGGCGCCCCCATACCAGCAACTCTATTTCTCTTAGGTTTATATTTTTTAAATTTTTATTAATGTTTATTTTTGAGAGAGAGAGAGAGAGAGCGAGCGTGAGCAGGGGAGGGACAGAGAGAGAGGGAGACACAGAATCCAAAGCCGCTCCAGGCTCTGAGCCGTCAGCACAGAGCCCAGTGTGGGGTTCGAACTCCCAGACCGTGAGATCATGACCCAAGCCGAAGTTTGACGTTTGACTGAGCCACCCAGGCGCCCCTCTTTTTCTTAGGTTTTGTTTTCCTTTAGCTTTGTCTGTTGGACAAAGGTAAGGAGCAGTATGAGGGACCCCAACAGCCCCCTGGGACCACATGTGGTTCTCCCACCCTGTGTGGCTGTGACCCCCAGCTAGGTTCAGGTGTGTAATGTGAGGGCGCCTGCCAGGCTCAGAGCTGTGGGCCCAGGAAGCAAGTGCGCTGTGGGTGGAAAGGCGGGTGTGACCATGAAGAGCCCTCCCCGGGCTCCGTGCTGCTCTAGCCCCGTGCCACGCTCACCTTTCGAGTCCGAGCTGTGTCTCCTGAGGTAGGACTGTCCTCTGAGGACACTCAGGCCCTGGCTGGGTGGCCCGGCCGCCACCTCCAGAGACATCCCCGTGGTGCCGACTCTGGTGGAGGCCCGGTGGCCACCTCCAGGACAGAAAAGGGCAGTGCTGTCAGCTGGCCAGGGCCCACCGGTAGGGACACACTGCTAGGCTTGGTGGCAGGGCCCAGCGTGACTGCCGCACCCCTAGGAGCCTGGCACACGAGGCAGACGCACCTCTTCTTTCCCGGCTGTGGGGGTCTTGTCTAAAGTGCCTTGTGCATCGCAGATGTGCGCACGCTGCCTCTTCCACAGGCCACCCGAGGGCTCCTTGTCACTGTGCACTCAGAGGCAGGTCTCACCAAGGCTGCCGTCCAGCCGGACCCCGAGCCCTCTCACTTTAGAGCTGCCTTCAGCCGTTCCGCCTCCAGACACAGGACGCAGCAAATACGGTGCCTGAAGTTCCGGGCCTGGGAAGACACTCCTGCGTCCTGGTTTTGTGGAGCACTCTTAGTTGTGTGGAGTGGAGGCAGCCTGCACGTTGCACGCTTGTCCCTGGTGCTGTTCTGGAACTGACCCCACTCCCTGGTCACTGTTCTCAGGGACTCCCTGCGAGGAGGCCTCAGCAGTGGACAGAGCGCTGTTGCTGGTGTTTGTGCTTTTCAATGGGGCTTAGTGCCCCGTTCCCGATGGGCAGCTGAGTCCATGGTCACGTGCTGTCCTGTGGCCCAGCATGTGGTGTCCGCTGGGGGCTAGTGAGAGCAGTTGTTGTTTCTGGAGTACTTTCAAAGGAGAGGGGATGGCTTTGCTCCAGAGTCCTAGAAGTTCGCACTGTTGCTTCTCCTGGGGTTCTAGCCAGGGGCCTCAGCGTGTCCTTGCTCGGCACCAAAGTGGAGGGCTCCTAGCCTGTCCTAAGTAGTTAGGCCATCCTGGGCAAGACTGCTTGTGGGCTTTGTGTAAAGGAGAAGAACGGGTCAAGATTATTTCTTTGAGCTCCTTTCCCGCGTGCACCTACAAGTGTATTCAGTTGAAATGACAAAGGGACAAGTCAAGACAGAATTAGAAATGAGAGTTACCTTGTGAACTTTTAGGCCGCATAAGCCCATCCACAGCGTGAACTTATGCTGTGGCCTTTGGGTGGTCGCCCGCAGAGATCTAGAGCCCTGTGCACGTAGTTGGCCGCTGGGGATAGGCGGTGCCAGGGGTTTGGAAACCCTGGAGCCAACCGGTGGTAGCAGGAGGGGCTGAGAGGGAGAGAGTGAGGGCAGACCAGGCCACTTTCGGGTCTTTCCATTTGGATGATTAATCTGACGCATTTCATTACCAGTGTTTAACAGTTCACCCGTGTGGCTCATTGTCGGATTGTATAATCTTGTCATTTCAACCGAATGAACATTCAGCTATTTCTGCCATAACAGAATTCTAAATAACTTCTAGGAAGATTTTACCAGTAAATTTTTTTTCTTCTTGTTTTTCTTTAACTTATCTGTCTAGGTATCACTTGTAGTTTTTTACTATGAAATTATTATTTTGCTTCTTAAAGTTGGGATAAAAAACTTTTCTTTTTAGTGTTTATTTTTGAGAGAGACAGCGCAAGTAGGGGAGTGGCAGAGAGAGAGGGAAACACAGAATCTGAAGCAGCTCCAGGCTCTGAGCTGTCAGCGCAGAGCCCGACGCGGGGCTTGAACTCACACTGTGAGATCATGACCTGAGCTGAAGTTGGCCGCTTAACTGACTGAGCCACCGGGTGCCCCTAAAGTGAGGGTTTTATAATCCAGAATCATATGTGAAAGAAGGAATAAAGGAATACGAAGGAATAAAGACTGAAGAAATCTGCACATACCTGTGCTTGGTGAAAACCTTCCCATTGGGAAAAAGTTCACAGTCTTTTGCTTTCCTCTTTTCTAGGAAGAATTCCTTTGGTTACCGGAAGAAACGGGAGGAGAAGCTGACAGTGAGTACATCTAGTCCATGACAGTTTCGCAAGACTCTTAAGCCTAATTCATATTAAATGTGAGATTTAACTACATGAATGAAGGTTAAGATGTGCTGAGCTTTGCAGAAGAGGTTTTCTTCTAATCTGATGTGTGTCAGGTGATAACTGACATTGTCGCAGCCTAAAGAGGAGAAGCTGGAGGCAATTGTAAAATGCTGGTCGCTAAAGAGTTTCTGGAGTGTCCCCACACAGTACCTGCGTGTGTGTGTGCTGTGCAGTAGGCACGGCCAGAACATGGTGTGCACACACATTTCGAATGAATTCTCTGTGGATAACTGGACAGTGTGTTAAATGAACTGAAGTTAATAGTTCTGACAAGCAGCATAAACTTTTCACTATAGGAATTAGTGCATCAGTAGTTTTCATTCAAAACATTTGACTTTGTATCCCCTATGTAGAAAGCATTGCTGCCTTCTGCTCTAACTAATGGTCAGAACAGTGCACTAAGGGTGGGCCTGGGTGAATGCTGAGCACCTGAGGTGTGGCCACATTTGCTTGGGCTGATTACGTAGCTTCTCCTAGATAATGCTTCCATCAGGCTCTGGTGTGGGTTGGAGCCATACCTTTCCACGTGAAGTATGCCACCTTAGGACATGTAGACACGTGGATGGATGGAAGCATGTCTATCCCCCCTCCCCCCCCAAGCCAGTGAGTATGTGCTGTCCCATCACAAAAGATAAATTTACTGTGTCTAGAACTTAGAAAGTACAGCTTAGTAGTTAATAAAATACCCATAATTCTGCTCTGTTGGTCAGTTTCGTTTTGGGTGAGCCCTTTGATGAGTCCGTTTACACTGGTTGGTTGCAGTTGGAATTAATGACTGCCTCTAACATTTGGACTAATGAGATAGTATCAGAGTGTGTCTTCAGACATCAGTTCCCTGAACTGAATTGTTCTGAGTTGGGTTACTAAATTGCCTTCAGAGGTGACCTTTATCCCCTTTGCCAGCTCTGTGAACGTTTTGTGTGCTGACTCGCATGCTCGTACCCAGGAGCCACTCGAAGGCCAGGCCCACGATGCAGGTGCATTTAGCAAGGGGAGTGCCCGTGCGGCTACCTTGGGACATTCCAGTGACTTCAGGAACTTAGAGATCGTGATTGCGTGTGCGCGCTCGGCCCGACCGAGCTGTGGGACCAGGGCCTCGTCACCTTGTGTCACACCGTACAGACCCTGAAAGCAGTGTTGAACGCCGCATCCGAGGCGAGGCCTCACCTGGAGGCACGCCGTGTTGTCACTCCCGCACCAAGGCAGCACCGCCTACCTAGTGTTCCTGCAGAATCCAGATTCAGTAAAATATTAGTGAAATCTGAATCCCTGAAAACCTGGGATCATCTCAGAAAAGTGCTGATGTTCAAAATTAAGCCTCTGAGACCTGCTTTGAGGTCACTGGCCTGTGCGTAACTTAGAGCTTTGGTGAGTTAAAGAGCGCACAAGAGCAGCCAAGTGGCCGGTAAGCGAAAGCTGGGTTCGGGCAGCAAGTCACCAAAATGCACCTGAGCCATAGGAAGGGTAAGAGGCAGGCAGGGATGCCCCAGAGAGATAGTGCGGATTTTTTTTTTTTTTTTTTTAGCTTCTAGTGCTTCTCATTTATTTATGTATTTAAAGTTTTATCAAAGTTCAAGTGTGGCATATTAGTTTCAGGAGCACAGTGTAGATTCAGCACTTCCGTACATCACCCGCCGTCATCACGACTGGTGCCTCCTTCAGCCTCCATTCCGTCTGGTAACCAGCATTTTGTCCTTTATATTTAAGAGTCTTGTTTCTTGGTTTGCTTCTCTTTTGTTCCCTTTGCTTGTTTCTTAAATTCCACATTTGAGTGAAATCCTATGGTATTTGTCTTTCTCTATTTCACTTAACATTACCCTCTAGCTCCATCCATTTAGTTGCAAATGGCAAGATTTCATTTCTTTTTCATAACTGAGTAAAATTCCATTATATACATATATCGCCACTTTATCCCTTCATCTGTCACTGGACACTTGGGCTCTTTCCATAATTTGACTATTGTAGATAATAAACAGGGTACATTTATGCCCCTTCTAATTAGGATTTTTGTATTCTTTGGGTAAATACTAGGTAGTACGATTGCTGGGTCATAGGGTAGTTCTATTTTTAACTTTTTGAGGAACCTCCAGAGCAGCAGCACCAGTTTGCATTCCCACCAGCAGCACAAGCGGGCTCCCCTTTCTCCTCATCCTCGCCACGTCTGTTGTTTCATGTGCTGTAAATTTTAGCTGTTCTGATGGGTGTGAGGTGGTCTCTCCTTGTGGTTTTGATTTGCGTTTCCCTGGTGATGAGTGATGTTGAGCGTCTTTTCACGTGTCTGTTGGCCATCTGGATGTCGTCTTTGGAGAAATGTCTGTTCATGTCTTCTGTTTTTTAATTGGATGATGTTTTTTGGGTGTCAAGTTTTATAAGTTCTTTATATATTTTAGATACTAAATCATTAGCTACGTCATTTTCAGATAGCTTCTCCCATTCTAAAGGTTTTCTTTTAGTTTTTTAGATTGTTTCTTTCACTTTTTGTCTTGAAGTTCCAGTAGTTTGTTTTTGCTTTTATTTCCCTTGCCTCAGGAGACGTATCTAGTAAGATGCTGTGGACAGTGTCAAAGAGGTTACTGCCCGTGTTGTCTTCTAGAATTTTTATGGTTTCAAATGTCACATTTAGTTCTTAAATCCAGTTTTAGTTTATTTTTGTGTATGGTGTAAGAAAGTGGTCCAGTGTCATCCTTTTGCATGTTGCTGATCAGTCTACCCAAGACCATTTGTTGAAGAGACTGGTTTTTTTCCCCCATTGGCTATTCTTTGCTGCTTTGTCGCAGATTAATTGACCACATAATTGCAGTCTATTCCTGGGTTTCCTCTTCTGTTCTGTTGATCTCTGTGTTCCAGTACCGTGCTGTCTTGATCACTACAGCTTTGTAATGTAACTTGACGTCCAGAATTGTGATGCCTCTTGCATAGCTTTTCTTTTTTAAGATTGCTTTGGGTGTTCAGGGTCTTTTGCGGTTCCACACAAATTTTAGGCTTTGTTCTAGCTCTGTGAAAAATGCTGGTGTTATTTTGATACAGGATTAGTCAAATGTGTAGATTGCTTTGTGTAGCATGGACATTTTAACAGTATTTGTTCCATGAGCATGGAATGTCTTTCCATTTCTTTGTATCATTTTCAGTTTTCTTTCACCAGTGTTTTATAATTTTCAGAGTATAGGTCTTTCACTTCTTTAGCTAGGTTTATTCCTAAGTATCTTGTTTTTGGGTGCAATTGTGTTTCTTTTTTTAAATTTATTAAAAATTTTTTTACTGTTTTTATCTTAGAGAGGAGAGAGAATATGGGTGGGGGAGGGGCAGAGAGAGAGAGGGAGACACAGAATCCGAAGCAGGCTCCAGGCTCTGAACTGTCAGTAAAGAGCCCCACACAGGGCTCAGCCTGATGAACCACGAGATCATGACCTGAGCCAAAGTCGGACGCTTAATCGACTGAGCCACCCAGGTGCCCCATTTTTAATATTTATTTTGAGAGAGAGCACACGGGCAAGCAGGCGAGGGGCAGGCACAGACAGAGAGAAAATCCCAAGCAAGCTCCCTACTCAGTGCCCAACGTGGGGCTCAAATCTCAAATCCCAATGTGAGATCATGACCTGAGCCAAAACCAAGAGTTGGACACTTTTACCCACCGATCCACCCAGGTACCCCAAGTTTTTCTTTCGTTCTTTATTTATTTTAGAAAGAAGGCATGTACCTGCGATCAGGAAATGGGCAGAAAAGGGAAATAGAAAATCTTAGCAGGCTCCATGCTCAGCATGGGCCCCAAAACAAGGTTCAGTCTCCTGACCCTGAGTTCATGACCTGAGCCAAAATCAAAAGTCGGACACTCAACCAGCTGAGCCATCCAGGTGCCCTGGCATATCAGTTTTCATGATATCTCTTATTGTTTGTATTATCTTTGTGATGTTGGTTGGTATTTCTCCTGTCTCATTTGTAATTTTTTTTATTTGAGTCCTTGCTCTTTCCTTTGTGATAATTCTGGGGGGTTATCCATTTTGTTAACTTTTTCAAAGAATCAGCTCCTGGTTTCATTGATCTGTTACTGGTTTTTGTTTTTATGTTTTTTTTTAAGCTTATATCATTTATTTCTGCTCTAATCTTTATTATTTTCCTCTTCCTGCTGGCTTGAGGCTTTGTATGTCCTTTTTCTAGCTCTTTGGGGTATCAGGTTAGATGTTTATTAAAGATTTTGCTAACTTCATGAGGTAGCCCTGTATTGCTACCTGCTTCACTGTTTGAACCACTTTTGCTGCATCCCAAAGGTTTGGGACCGTTGTGTTTCGTTTTCATTTATTTCTGTGTGTGTGTGGGCGTGTGTGTGTGTTTAATTTCTTTTGATTTCCTGGTAAACGACTTCAGTCTTTAGTACCATGTTCTTTAACTTCCATGTATTTGAGGGCTTTCCAGTTTTTTTTCTTTATTCTTGAAATTTTTTTTTTAATGTTTATTTCTTTTTGAGAGAGACTGCTGTCAGCACAGAGCCCGACGTAGGGTTTAAACCTACGCGCCACGAGATCATGACTGAGCCGAAGTCGGACACCCAACTGCCTGAGCCACCCAGGCGCCTCTCCAATTTTTTTTTTTTTTGTGGTTGACTTCTAGTTTAATAGTGTTGTGGTCTGAAAATATGCATGGTATGATTTCAGTGTTTTTGTATTTGTTGAGTCCTGATTTGTGACCGAGTATGTAATGTATTTTGGAGACTGTCCCATGTGCACTTGAAAAGAATGTGTATTCTGCTGCTTTAGGATGGAATGTTGTAAATGTCTGTTAAGTCCATTTGGTGAGTAGGTCATTTAGGGCCACTGTTTCCTTGTTGGTTTTCTGCTTAGATGATCTGTCCATTGCTGTAGGTTGGGTATCAAAGTCTCCTTTATTACTATTATTATTGATTAGTCCCTTTTTGTTATTAATTGACTTCTATATTTGGTTCTCTCACACGGGGTGCATACATATTTACAGTTGTTAGCTCTTGTTGGAGAGAACTGTTGATTAGGATACAGTGCCCTTCTTCTTCGTCTCTTGTTACAGTCTTTGGTTTAAGATCTAGTTTGTCTGATAGAAGTATGGCTACTCTGGCTTTCTTTTGATGTCCATGAGCATGCGAGATGGTTCTCCATCCCCTCACTTTCACTCATCAGGTGTCTGTCTCTTCAGTCCACAGTGAGTCTCCTGCAGGCAGCATATAGATTTTTTTTTTTTTTTTTAAATCCATTCTGACATCCTATGCCTTTTGATTGGAGTGTTTAGTTTGTTTATATTCAAAGTAATTATTGTGTATTTTGTGCTGTTTTATTACTTGTTTCGTTGTTGTTTCTGGAGATTTTTCTGATCCTTTTTTGTCTTTGTCACTTTTGGTCTTTCCACTCAAAGAGTCCCCTTTAATATATCTTGCAGGGCTGGTTTAGTGGTCGCGAACTCCTTTTGATTTTGTTTGTCTGGGAAACTCTTTATCTCTCCTTCCATTCTGAATGATAGCCTTGCCGGGTAGAAAATTCTTGGTGGCAGATTGTTCTCATTCAGAGCACATCCATCCTGGCCGGCCTAGTTTCTGTTGAGGTATCTCCAACTCACCTCCTGTGTTTTCCCTTGTAAGTTAAGGACTTCTTTTGTCTGGCTGCCTTCATCTCTTGATCTTGCAAATTTAACTACAATAAGTCTTGGTGTTGGCCTGCTTTTGTTGATTTTGAGGGGAGTTCTGTGTGCTTCCTGGATATGGACGTCTGTTTCCTTTCCCAGGTTTGCAAAGTTTTCAGCTGTTCCTTGCTCAAATACATTTTTGGGCCCCTTTTCTCTCTCCTTCTGGGACTCCTATAATATGAATGTTTTTATGTTTGATGCAGTCACTGAGTCCCCTAAGTCTATTTTGTGTTGCAGAAATTCTTCTTTCCCTCTTGTTGATTGTCAGTATTTTCCATTATTTAGTCGTCGTCTTTTTTTTTTTAATGTTTTTTAATTTCTTTCTAAGAGAGAGAGAGACAGCGTGAGCAGGGGAGGGTCAGAGAGAGAGGGAGTCACAGACTGAAACAGCCTCCAGGCTCCGAGCTGGCAGTCAGCACAGAGCCTGACGCGGGGCTCGAACCCACTAACCGCAAGATCATGACCCAAGCGAAAGTCGGACGCTTAACCGACTAAGCCACCCAGGCGCCCCCATTATTTAGTCTTCTAAGTCACTAATTTGTTCCCTTGTTTTTTTCCAGCCTTGTGCTCATTGCATCAAGCCTGTTTCTTATCTCAGTTTTTACATTCTTCATCTCTGATTCTTTTTTTAACTCTCATATCTCTGTGGTAAGGGTCTCCCTGATACCTTCTTTTCTCAAACCCAGTGAGTATCCTTATGATTGTTGTTTAAAATTCCCATCAGGTATATTACTTATATCTGTTTTGCTTAGATCTCTGGCCGTGCCCCTATCTTGTTTTGTCGTTTCGGATGAATTCCTATTGAGAGAGAGTGGGGTTTTTGTCAGTGTGGGTACTTGCCACCTCTTGAGTTCTAACAGACCTTGTCTAGGTTCTGTCTCTGTAGGGAGTAATTTTCCTGTTGGTGAAGGTAGCTGGGCAGTGCTGGCCCTTCCCAGTGCGTGAGTTCGTGGCAGCATTGCTCCTGCTCGCCCGCACCTACTTGCGGACGCCTGCCTGCCACCTGCACGCCTGTCCCCGTTCTGCTCCCTGTCTTCTTTAACCAAGGAACTGGGTACCCATGGAACGGCTTGTAGCTTGTTAAAGCAGTTTGCTTTGATAATATTTTAGTAAAAATACATCATTGCATTTCTCTTGGGATCTTGGGTTTATAAATTATATTCTGAGTTTATTTTCTTGAAGTCGAAGAATCTGATTAAAATCTGTTGTCAAATACCATGTTTTTACATAGTTGATTCAGTTTTCAGATAACTGAAGCCCCTTTCCCCCTTGTTAAACCATTTTTCAATGGAAATCTGTGTAAAATTCTTACACAAGTTTTAGAGAGTTGAAAGTGGCATTTTTGGGTTTATTTCTTTCACTATCTTCATTATAATTTAGAAGATAGGCTCTCCTGTAGTAACACAGACCTTGTCTGGACAGGAGTAGGGTCAGGGTCTAGACTCAGGCCCTTGTGATGTTTGAGCAGGGGGCCAGGTTGTTCCCCAGTGCTCCCTTGCTTGTCTGACACCATGTCTGTGCCATCCTCAGCTGCACGCCTGTGTCCACCTGGTCTGTGTCGGCCGACTGTGGACCCGGAACGGGACAGTCGGAATCTCAGAGAAGTGGCTCTATACAGCCGACGACAGCCTCAGGAGGTCGAGCTCTACAGCTTGTTCCTAATGGTTGCAGGCGCCTAATAAATGATTTTTGATTAGGTGACCAAGTGTTGAGATTGTTGGGTGACCTCTCTGTTGTCTTCAGGCAGAGGCGGAAGTCAGAAGGCCAGAGAACGGATTGTTTGCCTTCCTCTTCTGCTGTGTGTCTGCGTTATCTTGCAGTCTACACTTGTGCAGCATGACGGTGTTGTTCTCTTTCAGAGGAGTCAAACTCAGTCTCCGACGCCACCGAGGCCCCCATCCCCGAGCTTTGAGTTAGGACTGTCCAACTTTCCTCCGCTGCCTGGAGCCGCAGGCCACCTGAAGACTGAGGACCTGTTTGAAAACAGGCTGTCTAGCTTCTTAATAGGATCATCAAAAGAAAGGGTAAGATCTGTATCGCTGATGTTTGCTTAGTGCTGAGTTTGGGTCCAGTGCTTCTCTCAGCTCTTCCCAGGGCAGCTGTTTGCACGCAGAGGAGGTTCAGAGAGGGTAAGTGACTTGCAAAGGCCACATGGATTCGGGGTAGTTGGGTCAGGGCTGAACCTGGGACTAGACCCTCTCAGACCGTTCCCTTGCTGCCTGCCGAGGCCAGAGGTGGACACCTGTGTCGTGTGCCACAAGGACCCCCTCTCTCACTGCACACTCAGACTGCACTTTTATTGTTGTTATTCAGAACCTGCCTTTATTTTTTTCAAGTCTACACAATAAACACCTGAAGTATAATGGAAGTGACATAATTTTTAGTAATCGGCATCACTAAAGGGAGGCCTGGAATGATCTTACTGCAACTCGTGGCTATGGCCAGCTCTGCGGGCCGCCGCCCTGGCTGTCCTCACTCTTCTGTCCTGAGGGCGGGCCCCAGAATCAGGGGCTCCTGACCTCAGAGAGGGTTAGTCTGCAGCGCTCCCCCTGGGGCCCGCGATTGTGAGGCGTGGAGGTCTGTGCTGCTGCTGGGCGGGCCGTGCAGCACCCAGCTGAGCGCTCGGCTGGGTCGGGGTGAGGACAGCTATCAGGTCCCCGTGGCCACATTTGTCCTCGAGCTCTCTCCTGGCTCTCCACCAGTCTCCTCGTGTCTCTGTCCAGTGGAAGCCCATGCACCTGCTGCCCCCAGACGAAGGCCTCTGGGTTGGGACAGGCTCCGCCTTGCAGCCACACCCAGGCTGTGGACCCTTGCACGGCCACCGCAGAGCAGCCCAGTGACCAGGCCAGGGCTCGGGGCGGGGTTCAGGCCTCGTCCAGGTGCTGCGTGGCTATTGCTCCTATTTTGTATCTAAATGTTCATGTATTTATATTTATTTCTACTTACCTGTTTTTTAATGTTTATCTTATTTTTGAGAAAGAGAGACATTGTGGATGAGGGGCAGAGAGAGAGAGATGGGATCCGATGTGGGCTCTGCACTGACAGCAGCGAGCCCAGTGAGGGGCTTGAATTCATGAACCGTGAGGTCATGACCTCAAAGTCAGACACTCAACTGATTGAGCCACCAGGCGCCCCTATTTGTTTATTTTGAGAGGGGGTGAGGAGGGGCAAAGAGAGAGTGTGTGTTTTCGTTTTTTGTTTTTTTGATGTTTACTTTTGAGAGAGAGAGGGTCACAGAATCCGAAGCAGGCTCCAGGCTTTGAGCTGTCAGCACAGAGCCTGACACAAGGCTCCCAGCCATGAGATCTGACCAGAGCCAAAGTCGGACACTTAGCCCTGAGCCATCCCGATGCCCGGAGAGGAAAATCTTAAGCAGGCTCCGTGCTGTCAGTGCAGAGCCGAACATGGGGCTCAGTCCCATGAACCGTGAGATCACAACCTGAGCTGAAATAAAAAATTAGACGTGTAACTGATTGAGTCACCCAGGCACCTCTGTATGATTTATTTTTTGAAGACCGATGGCTACGTGTAAAAAGTCTCAGCCAGATCGCACACTCCGGTCGAGGCCCTGCAGCACGTCTCTCTGTCCCCTGGTGCCTATGTGAAGACTAGTGGGGACCCTGGGCGGGGCCGCAGCACTGCCCTGCTCACCTTGTGGGCCCCCCCCCCCCCGCTCTCCATCAGTCCACTTCTGAACCTTTTATCTGCTAGGAAAGTGGAATCATAAGAAAATGTTACATTTGCACTTAATCTCACTTCCAGGGGCGCCTGGGTGGCTCAGTCCGTTAGGCATCCGACTTCGGCTCAGGTCATGATCTCGTGGTTCGTGGGTTTGAGCCCCGTGTCGGGCTCTGTGCTGACAGCTCAGAGCCTGGAGCCTGTTTCAGATTCTGTGTCTCCCTCACTCTCTGGCCCTCCCCTGCTCATGCTGTCTCTCTCTCTCTCAGAAATAAATAAAACATTAAAAAAAAAAAAAGTCTTACTTCCAGCTACATATTAATCACACAGTAGGAAAGAGACTGCATTTGTGTAGCGTCGCCATGCATGGGGGTCACTGGCTAGAATAAGAGCTCCAGCGTTATTCACATCTTCGCCCCATGATAGGGCGCACATTAACGTGATTGTTCCAAGCCTTGGTTTCCTTGTCTGTTAATGTGAGAATTCACACACCTGCTTCCAGGGGATGGTTTGTGCTTTCAAGCGGGAAGTGTGCCCCCACCTGCTACCCATCAAGAGACCCCCAAACTTCTGTCTGTACTGAAGTGTTGATCTTCTGGGTTTTGGTTACAAGACTGAGTTGTGTGGGAATTAGGTTGGGAACTCGAGTGTTCCGCGTGCCAGGCTCTGCTGGGCTCTGGTGTGTCAGGAACAGGGTGCCTCTGAGATTTATTCCATGGAGAAAAGGAGCTTGTGGAGGAGTAGAGTGGAAGCCCGAGGGTGGCCCAGGTCACAGGAGGGAAGAGGTGTTTGTGGGCGGAGCAAGGGCTCCCTGGAGGACAGGGCTCTGCTGCTTCTGCTGTTGGCTAGCGGTGTCTTCCAGCTGCTGCCCTGGTGGAAGCTGCACATTCAACTCAGGGAGAGTGACCCTGGGCCTGGGGAGGAAGGCAGGAAGCCGCCTTGTCATTCAGACCAGGACTGTTACCGGCGTGTTTAAGGTCACTCTGAGAGAGCTGGGAGGGCTGCTCCTCCACCCAGCTTCAACTGTCACCCTGGTTTTCAGGGCCTGAATGCGGACGCAAGCACGAACACGCTCCCTGCGGTGAGCCCCAGAGAGCCCTTAGCCCCGGCTGCCTGCACGCTGTCTGCAGCCTGCGGGCGCTCCCCCTCCCCCGCCCACCCGCCTGAGTAAGTACCGCCTGCCGCCGGGCCTCCGCGCTGTCACGTGCCCTTGCCTTTTGTGTGGGGGAGATTCACACCGTGGGCGGCATTTTTACAGGGATCCCAAGGTGGTGGAGAAGCAGAGGGAGACCTCGAATGTGGACAGACTTCCTTCTGCCCTCACTACGACAGCGAGTAAATCGGTGCAAGTGAATGGCGCTGCCACGGTAGGTGCCCAGCAGCCCTTCTCACCCCCTCGGAGGAGGGGTTGGTGTGGGAAGAAGACCGTTCCTTTCCTGCGTCAGTTACCTGCTGTGGAGTCTGATTTGATAGGTGTTTTTTACGTGTGTGCACGTGTTGTGCTTTTTGTACCAAATACCTCGTGTATTAGCTGCTGACTTCCTGCCTCTTTCTCAATGCCGCTGCCCGGGGGCCTTTCTGCTTCTCTGTCGCTTGAGCGAGGTTGTCTGCAAGTCTCTGGACTCCCGCGTTGTCCGTGGATTCCGCTTAACTCGGGCTGGTGCTGTCGCAGCGGGTGCCCCTGCTCCCACCCCGGGAGGCTCCGTCCTGGCCGCAGGCCCCTTCCGCTCTTCTCCCTGCTGCTTCACCCTCGGTGCACCACCCTGCTTGTTGTGATTTGTGTGGTCCTCTGTGTGATCTTGGGTGAGCTTCTGTCGTTGGCATTTGGGAGTTAAACTCTTACTGTCTACAGGGTTGAATCTTTAAAGAAAAATTTTTTACAGATTATAATTATTTTTAACTTCGTAAATGGCTTATGGATGTGAAATAGTTTTGAGTTTCTTTTCTGCTATTTAGCCTTCAGGCTTCTACTTACCTGAAAAATTAGCTTTTTTTAAAAAGTTTTTTTTTTTTTTTTAAACTTTATTTTGAGAGAGAAGAGAGTGAGCTGGGGGAGGGCCCGAGAGAGAGAGAATCTCAAGCAGTTCCCATGTTCCTGATATGGGACTCGATCCCACCACCCTGGGCTTACGGCCTGAGCCGAAAGAGCCGAAATCAAGATTCAGACTCTCAACTGGCTGAGCCACCCAGACTCCCCTTTTTAGAACATTTAACTCTGACTTCACCTTTTCTGGATCCAAATTCCACACCACCAGCCTCCAGTAGTTTGAAATGGGCACAGACATTATTTGAAGTTTTTTGGCAAGTAAGGGGCTACATCACTTTCGGGCGGTCCAGGAAGCCCGTGCCGTGTGCCGTGGCGTGCTTGGAAGGGAGCGAGGGCAGAGAAAGCAGATACTGCTCTTGCCTCTTTCCCGGAGCACCGTTTCTCACACCCCCTTGGAGGCCTCCGTGTGGCGAGAGTGCGCAGAGGCCAGCACTGTGTGTCTCAGCACCTTTTCTAGTTCTACTCGTTTTTACAGGATGTTTCTGGAGTGTCTTGGAAGGAAGCCTGTGTTGCAGGAAAATAGAAGTTGTTGATATTTCCGGACTTTTACAGGCAACGGTACTTTTGAATGTGGAATTTGGCTACTGCTGAAAACTTTGTTCACTTTTACCTGAAGTAAACTTTATTTTCACGTGTTTGGAGACATCATTTTGTGCACGTAATCCCAGCGTTGTGTCTGTTTCCCAGGAACTGCGAAAACCCAGCTACGCGGAAATCTGTCAGAGGACGAGTAGAGAGCCTCCGTCTTCCCCGTTGCAGCCCCCGAGAGAACAGAAGCCAAACGCCGTCGCTTGTGGGAAGGAAGAAAAGAAGCTTGCCGAGAGAGAGCCCCCTGCCCCCAAGTCCAACCCGGGACCACCCAAAGACCAGAGGAGGCCGCCGGGCCGCCGGCCCTCGCCCCCGGCGGCCGGGAAGCGTCCACACAGAGAGCAGAGCACTCCTCCTAAGTCCCCTCAGTGAGCGCCGAGGTCTGGGAGGGCTGTGAGGAACTGAGGTCGCCACAGCTCAGCACTGTCCTGCGCGGGGCCGAGAGTGAGCCGCTGGTTAGGAGCTTGCAGCGTAGATGGGCCGGTGAGGTGCCTGCAAGTGGTGTTTCTTCCGTGAGTCGGATTTTCCCCCCTCTTGAAAAAAATCTATTTTTCAGGATTTAATTAATATAAACCTTATTTTAGGTTGGTGCTTAACTGGAGGTGATGCATAAGTCTGATTTTTTTCAGGATAGAAAATGCATTTATCCTAACAAATTGATATTTTTATTAAGCCTCCATGTGGCTATGAATGCAAGCTATATATAGTGAGTTTTTCTAAATTAAGCGGAACTATGCTACTTCATTTTTTTAAAATAACTGGTTAGCAAGTGCATATCTCTGAGATGTCCAGACTGACGGGTGGGCTGAGGATGGTCAGGATTGAGGGTGGAGGCGACACGGGCAGTGTGGCCTGGAGAAGGGATGGGGTCAGGTGGTGCCCTTGCTGGCATGGGAGTTGTACTGCATTCAGAATCTTAGCAAGTGACGCTAGCAGTTGTTTGGGTTGGGTTTTTTTTTGTTTTGTTTTTTTTTTTTTTTTTTTTTTTTTTTTAAGTATAGCCTGTTTTTGATCTACTGGGCAAGATGCACCCAAGAGAGCCCTGAAACCGTGAGTTTTTATGTGCTGCAAGCAAGTAACCAGCCTCTCAATCCAGACTCCGTGGCTGTTATGTAAGATAGAGTCAAAGCACATTGTGAATAGAACCTACATAAAAAAAACGTAAACCTGGTTGGCCACCGACGCGTCACCGTGAAATTGTACCCTGATGTGGTCTTGGTCCTGAGAGCTGGCCCGGGGGGCGTGGCTGCCGCGGCTCCCCCGCCTTAGCCAGCTCTGCGGGAGCCTCCCGTACCTCTGTGTTGGCACGCAGTGGAAGTGTTACTTAAGTCGTGAGAGAGGTGTGTGCGGTGCCCGTGGCAATGGGGCCGACAGTCCCCTCGGAGACGAGGGTCTCACCGACTCCCTTCCGGAAGTGCTGCACTCTAACACGCATGCACTAGCGCTAGCAGTGGGTAATAAAGTTCAATATAAATTATTTTCTTTTAAGATGCCTAAATTCTTTCTTTAAGTATTCTAAGCAGCAGACTTAAGATATTTCCTGCTAAATGTAACCATACAGTTTATTCCACAAAATGTTATTTAACAACACTGAGGGTTTTTTTAAAAAAATTATTTCCATCCAATATTTAAAGACTTGAATTTTATTTAAACTTGAAAATGACTTTGCCTTAACTTTTGTAGAAGACAGCTTAGAGTTGGCGGAGACCGGCCCCTAGGTGGGCGAGTGGGCTCTAGAGCCGCTCAGCCACGGGGGCCGCCACCAGGGTGTCTGAGTGAGCGCTCCGTAGTGCGGGAGCTGGGCCGGCAGCGGTGTCCGGGACGGACCCTGAAGATCTGCAGCAGTTGACCTTTCTCAGATTGTTGAGAAATCCTGTAAATGCAAATAGTCGATACTGTATTAAATATGTGCACTTGGGAGTGTGTGCTTTGCTTGTACAGTTGTAAATAATGAGAACATATTAAAAAGGTACCCTAAAGAGAAAAATCTGATAAAAATTATTGATATATTATAAATGTTGCTATTGAGCTGGATGTAGATAAAACTAAATGTTGTGGTTTGAATATTATTTTAATTTGTTGAGGTGTTTTTCTTTTTCTCTTATGCTGGTGTGTTGGACTGATTCTCCTCTTTGCTGCTGCAGAAGGGAAACGGAAAGTCCTGTTAAAGCCTTCTGACGTCTTCATGCTCTTCTTAAAAGTCTGTAAATATGTACTAATCATAGCTAATGTGAAAGCGTGATGTAGGAAGCAGAAACTGGGAGGATCTTCAGGAGAACGTAAAAGATAATCTACTTAAAATCACAGATAGCTGTGCGCGATTCGCCCTGCCAGAGGAGAACGCCCTGGTGCGCTTGACCGTGTCCTTCAGAGAAACTGCCAGTACTCAGATTTTACCTAGAAAAACGCAGTGCTAGGATGTTGCAGATGCCTGTAAAAGGAACATGGGGATTCATTTTTTTTTTTTAATAGTTGAGGGATTGTGGACTTAAAAAATCAGGAAGATCTGACCGGACACCCCAGCTGATGAGTACTGTGAGAACAGTTGGAAAGGCCAGCCCCAGGAGGTCCGCGCGGTGTGGTCTTGGCTGGAGGAGGGAGCGGATGCCGTCAGCCTTCGTCATCCCCAAGCCACAGACCTGTGAGGCCTGTGGGGCTGAGATGCTGGTTTCCAGGAGCGACGCGTTGTCGTCCCCCCCCCCCCCCGCCCCCCACCTCATCAGCGGGAGTGTGAGTGTGTGCCGGAGCCGGCTGCTGCCCACGGGATGGAGGGGGTCGCTCCTGACGGCGGCGGGTCCCGCTGTGCCCGTGTCCGCACCTCATTGCAGCTCCTGTCCCCGTGGCCAGAGTCTGCCGCATCCAGATTTGCAACCTCGCCTTGGTGTGATTTTTATAGCACCCTTTTTAATTAAGCAAACATGATATGCCAAATAGCTATATTATGTCAAAAAAAGCCCACCTTTCTGAGATCCCTGTAAGATCTTCCACTCACAGAAGAGGAGGAGGGGAGCCGTCACAGGAGGAGGCTGGGACGCAGCCCGGGGTCGGCAGCCCTGGCGCAAGCAGCCGGCAGTCTGAGGCTTTTTCCGTTTTCAGAGACGTCACTCTTTCCTTTCCTCAGCAGTACCTCAGGGCGTAGAGTCAGAGATACAGCAGTCACAGGTGGCATTTTAACTTGTGAGATTGTGTGAGGATACTTCTAACTTGGAGACAGAGGGATGAGAATCTGGCCCCATTTCACCAGACATGAATTTCAAGTAGAGTAGTTGCTTTTTAAGAGTTTGTGTCCCGATGTTCCTGGTCTGGCCCTCCGGTCCTCGCATCACTGATTGTCACTAGCGGGTGGCAGGGAACGTTTCCTGTTGCTGGATTAGCCAGGAGCACACGGTTTACATTTAAACACCGGCTCCGTTTGTTCCGATGGCAGCGGGCAAGGAAGGTGCGCGTCCGTGCGCCTGCCGCCTGCGAGCTGCAGTCGGGCTATTGTGCGCTTCGTGGCCTGTCACCCGGGGCGCAGCAGACAATCCAAGTCAGGAGCAGAGCGGGATGTGATACGGAAGCTTTCTTGAGGGCTTTTGTTTTTGTTCTACTTATTTTCATTAAGACTGGAATCAAGCTTACGTGTAAACTATTGGTAATTTAAGTTTCCTTTTGTGTCATTCGGTGTAAAACTGTCTTAATTTGAAAATGTAGGTTATGAAAAATAAAGATTTAGGCACTGTTCAATTTTTCTTTTGATTATTTTTAAATTAAAACTTCAAGAATACATCTTTTTAAAAAATAATTTTCGTGTCTTCCCATCAGTGTACGTGAAAATGAAACATGGCTGTTTGCCTCCAACTTGTGTTTGGTTCATCACGGCGCCTCGCACACTGAGTGTCTGCAGCGTGAGGGCCCCAGCAGGCGCAGTGGTTAAAGGCATGCGGGGGAGCACTAAATCCAAGATTTGCACAAAGATAAATATCCCTGTGTCAGGATCTTTTGTTTCTTGTTAAACGGCCTGTCTTCCCTGAGTTGTTCCCATAGAGTCACTTGATGATGGGTCCCTTTTGGTTCTCAATCAGGTGTGAGCCTCAGAAACAAAGTAACTGACCTACCCCTAAATACTGGGGATGCCAGCACTGCCCAAAGCTGAAGGGACGGACATGTTAGTATGTCACCGAGTTGATGCACACGGGTCTACTTAGATGTTAATGGACTGATTTTTCTCGTCTGTGAACTGCCTGTTCATATCCTTTTCCCATTTTTCTGCAGCGTTACCTTTTTCTTACTGACGTGTTCTCGATCCATTCTGCTATTAATTCTTTGTCTGTTATGTATGTTACAAATATTTCCCCTCAATCTCTACCAGTTGTCTTAACTTTTTAGAGTATGTTTTATCTTACAGTTTTTAATTATCATGTAGTAAAATTTATCAATCTTCTCCTTTACAGTTCTAGCGTCTTGGTCTTGTTTATGAAATATTTCCCTACTCTGCAGGTGTAAAGATAATCGTGTGTGTGTGCGTGCGTGCGTGCGTGTATGCGTGCATTCAGTCTGTCTGGAATTGCTGGCCTGTATGTGTGTGTATGGCCTGGGGTAAGAACCTAATTCTGCTTTCGCTGTACAGAATATATTTTCTCCCGTGTCACCTATTTGTCTCCTCCGTGATGTGCGGTGCCAGTCTTGTTACGTAGAGAGGCTCCGCAGGTGCCTGCGTGTGTCTGGGCACTCTGTTCTTCATGGTCTCTAGTTCTCTTTCTCTCTTGACACCATAGGGTTTCATTCAGCCGTCACTTGGCATTGCTAGGGATTGCTTTTGTGGAGCTCCTCACAGCAGTAATTGAACATGCTCCATGAAGGCAGGAAGTGAGCCCTCCTGACCACCTCTGTACCCCTGTTCTTAGTACACTGTCTGCAACATAATAGATGCTCAATAAATGTTAAATCGCGAATATTTATTGAGTATGTATTCTTTGTGCACAGCACTGGCCTGGAAGACTTGGAAAAAATAGGGCAATGAGTTGCTTCACTTTTTCCATGTCAAGCTCCCTGCCCGGCCTGGTGGTTTGAAATGACCATCACACATCAGGGTTTGCTGCTGTAGGCTCAGCTCGGTGGTTCTGCTGACCCTTGGCCATACTCGCTCATGGATGTGGGTTGGGAGGACACGGATCTCATCACCACGTGCTGCTCGTCTGGGCCAGCCTGTGCTCTCACGGCTGCGGGAAGGTGCAAGAGTTGAGCCCCAGGGTTTAAGCCCCCCTTCCAGAGAAGCTGAAGTTGTCGCGTTCCTTGGTATAGCCACGTCTCTTATTAACATTGAAGTCCTGTGTTTTTCTGAATCATGGTGTAAAAGTGACAGTGGAAGAAAGTGCCACCGGCAGGTGGCCACGGGCTGTGGGGCCTGACGCGCTGTGAGCCCCATTGTTGCCTAGTGGCCTGTTGGTGGCCTCACTTCGGGCTGTCTGGGGCTTCCTCTGACACACTGTTCCCGGCCCGCCAGGCAGAGGCAGGGAGGAGGTAATGGAAATCAGAACAACGGACCTGCCGTTCAGGTTCTGCGTGTTTGCGGACCAGAGACTGGGGCATGGCTAGTGCGTTGGGTGCTCGCCGGGTGGACCTGGCCCCTGCGCCCCCACAGTCCTGCTCTGAGCGGAAGTGGACCTGGGAGCCACAAGCAAAGGGCGGTCAGCTGGGTCCTCGGTTGGGGTGGTTATCAGGGGAGGCCACCTGTGAGCGGACCGAAGGAGGGAAGGCTTTCCACGGCAGGGGCTGGCGATTGTGTATCCAGGAGGCGGAGATGCAGCCGCCAAGGGTATAGGGGTGTCCCTGGCACGGCAAGGGCCCCCAGTGCCTGGGTTCCTCCTACGCCAGGTTTCCTCTGAGCCACTGTGGCCGCCTCGCTTAGCTGAAACTCCTGGCTTAGTCACTGTGCTGTCAGCACAGAGGCCCCGTACGTGGTGAGCAAGGGCCCTCCAGAACATTGAGAAACAAAGCGGGTGCCCCCCCCCCCCACCAGGGTGGCCATTCGTCCAGCAGAGCACTGGCCCTGCTGCCCCAGCCACAGGACGCAGGGTGCACGCCCAGTACGCTCACAGCGCCAGCAGCACCGCGGCTCCCGAAGTGGCCCGGCTGTGTGGCTCAGATCCCTGGGCCTCCAGCTCCCAGACAGCTGGGATCCCCCGACGGGATGAAGAGCTGTCCGCGCCTGTCCCGGGGCCAGCCAGCGGCGGTGACCCCGGGAAGGGCGTCCCCCGCAGCCAGCGATGCGTCTGGCCCAGGATGATTGGAGTCACCGTGTCTAAGTGTAGGAGAGGATGTGAGACGCAGGACCAAGCAGGGCGTCACACATGGCCAGGGTTTCGGGGCAGCAGTGCCGTCCGCGGCCCACAGCCCACAGCGCTAGAGTAGCCCCTTCTGTCAGCGACTGTGCGGGCCTGCTCCCTGCAGCAAGCCGGCTGCTAGACCGGAGACAGGCCGCGGCAGGAGCAGCCTGTGCCCGGCCCCCAGGGCCCCTGAAACCACACCAGGAGACGCTTCCTCTGGGGACAAGGTTCTTGTAGCTTGGGCCTCATATGCAAAGTCAAATAAGATTTCTTCCTGCTGACTCTCTTTCCATGAACTTGGGGTTCAGGTGGGGGGTGGTAAGGATGCAGAGGGTTGTTGTCAAGAATTAATTCACAGTCAAAAGGTGCTTGTGGTTAATGGGCATGCAGGTCACGAGAGGTGGGGGAGGCAGGCGGACCCGCAGAAGCCGGGGACCGGTGCCGAGTCAGGAGGCCACCGCTGCACTCTCCCCCCTTGGCTTGGGTTTGCTCTGCTGCTTCCTTAGGATCCGAGAGGGTCGGTTCATAATCGCCCCGAGGCAGGCGCTCCCCGCTGTACACATCCCTGGGAGCGGAGTCCCGCCTCTGTGTACGTTTACATTCTTCGTCCTGGGGAGTATGTACAAGTGAGTCCTTCCTCTCCAGGGCGCGGGACAGTTTCCCGCTGTCTCTGTGTCACCGGACCCTGGTCTGGTTCCACTGTGGTCAGAGAGCGCACCAGACGACCTGGGCGACCTGGCCGGGTCTGCCGCGGGACCCCCGGGGCCTGGAGGAGAGCGCAGGAGGCACCCGCGGGCCGCCCCAGCTGCAGGGGGGCACCCGCCTGCACCCCTGCCCCCGGGGGCTCGCGCCCTCCTCCCAGCTCCGGCGGCGCTCGGATGGGGTGCTCAGGAGCCTGTGTTTGGCGCCTGCACTTGAGGATGGCTGCGTGTTCTTGCGGGGTCCATCCTGCGACCGCTCGGTAATGTCCCTCGGGTTCGCAGGCTCTGCCGGCTTCCTTTACTTGACGTTAGTGTACTGCTCCTGCCTTTCTTTCCCCAAGTGCCCGTGAGGCGCCCTTCTGGACCCTCTGCCTGAGCTCACGCCGCCAGTGTCGGCCGTGACCCGGCGCGCAGACCACTCACACGGGAAGGAATCTGCGCGCGCGGCTTTCCGTGAGCTCCTCGTCCTCGCTCCCTTGCCTTCCGGGGCCTGCAAACCGGGGCCGCTCGAGGTCCAGGTCGTGGGCCGTGTCGGGGTCAGCGAGCCCCCGTGCCCGCAGGCGTGTTTGCCCCCGGGCTCTGCCGGCGTCTCTTTCACAGGGAGCCAGCAGGCCAGCCAGCGCCCGGGCCTGCTGCTCAGCGGCCTGCGTGGTGCCCGCTTCTGCGGTGACCGCGAGGCTGCGGCGGGCGCTCGGGAGTGGGGCCACCGGCGCCCGGACCCTGGGCCCGGCCGGCGGCGGGTGCCCCGGCGCGCCGTCCCCCCGCGCCCCGCCCTGCGCCCCCCCCGGCACGCCGTCCCCCCGCGCCCCGCCCTGCGCCCCCCCCCGGCACGCCGTCCCCCCGCGCCCCGCCCTGCGCCCCCCCCGGCCCGCCGTCCCCCCGCGCCCCGCCCTGCGCCCCCCCCCGGCACGCCGTCCCCCCGCGCCCCGCCCTGCGCCCCCCCCGGCACGCCGTCCCCCCGCGCCCCGCCCTGCGCCCCCCCCCGGCACGCCGTCCCCCCGCGCCCCGCCCTGCGCCCCCCCCCGGCCCCGCGCCCCGCCAGCCACGGCCCGGCGCCCCCCCCCGCACGCCGTCCCCCCGCGCCCCGCCAGCCACGGCCCGGCGCCCCCCCCGCACGCCGTCCCCCCGCGCCCCGCAGGTGCAGGCGGCCTGATCCCGTGTCCGGGCCGGGATGTCCCTGTTGGCCGGAAGCAAGCGCGGCACTCAGAGCCCAAGGCCCCGTGTCCGGCTCAGGGTGCCGGTGAGTGAGGAGCTGGGGCCTGGTGGGCGGTCGGGGAGAAGTGAGGCGGAGCCAACTGCCCTTGGGAGCCGTGGGGACGCCGGGTCCCAAATAGGCGGGAGATCACAAGACAGCCCGGAGAGCTCTGGACCTGAGTCCCGGACAGTGAGTGACCATCAGCCGACTGAGGGCGGACGGCGAACGAGTGACCATCCAGGTGACTGCGGTGTATAAAAGGGGGGACAGTGTGGGCATGTGACCACCCACGTGTCCGAGAGAGGCTTGAGGGTGGCCTGAAACCCGCAAAAGCAAGGCGGCCGGTCTGCCCACAGGGCCCTGGCCACCTGGGCCCTGTACTGGAGAAGGGCGTCCCCCGGCCACTCGGTGCCGCGTCCCCGCAGCCTCTCTGGGCAGCGCGCCCCCCGCGGAGCTGCCGAGCAGGGGAGCAGGGGAGCAGGGCGGGTCGCTGGGCAGCTCGCCCAGGGCGCAGGGGGCCGC